AACCCGCAACCACCACCACCACCTAGTAATTTGAGTAGTAACCTACCTGTAGGCTATATTCCGGCATAAGAATGTATTGTTAGACATTTTATGACTTTTATTTTGCTTTTGTAATCAAATTATAATTTACCTTTACCTTGGCAACACCGTTAGGAAGTTAACGTCGCGCACACAATTTTCTAGTTCGTTCGGCTGATCCCCGCTCCCGCTGCAGGTTAACTAGTAACTTAGTAGCTAGTTTAAACTGTAATAGGTTCCTTTTTATTGTCTGAATAATTGGTTCGAGCTGCGGTCGACGATGGACGTGTGTAAGTTACCTAACCATATAGTTAACTGGCAATAACTGCCATATTGTGAAACACTTTTTCTTTTGTTACTTTGTACTTGGAATTTGGAAATCAGTCAATAGTACTACAATTTCAACTCCAAGCATAGTGACAAACCACAGATTTTTTAGAATCAGTTCATTTTTTATTTCCTCCTTTACTCACAATTTAAACCAATTTCTTATGTATAATAATGCAGGTATCCAGGATACTTTAGGCCGTTTAGGGTAAACGCAGTATATTCCATAATTCCGTCACATTAAGGACGCATTGAGAAATGAAAAACTATAAAAAATAACTGTATGCGTTACTCAAGTTCTGTTTGCTTTTGGTGACTCTCAAAACACCGTAGTACGCGTCGGCACTCGGCAACAATGAAACTTCACAAAATGTTGCCATATTTATGTAAAAGCCTTTAGAATGCAAACCTACCAAATCCCTATATTCCGTCACTGTGTGTGGCAATATTCGGCACGTTGATTCCTAATATATTCACAGACGTATTTAAAAGTCTCAAACCATAATATTATTCCTATACAAACAGTTATTCACTATTTGGTAGAGCAAGGTCAACTGTCCAATTTGACACGTTTTTTTGATGATCTCACTGGGTACGTGGGTAGCGTGCATTGTCTCTCTTTGGATCTCAATATTTTCCCACTAGATGGCTAAGACCTAGTGTTTTGGCATTAGTTCGGTGCGCAAATGTATGACGTCACCATTTCAACCATCAACGAAGGCATGGAACTAAAACAAAGCTTAATATAAAGGAAAAACTAGAGAGGTGACGGAATTACCCATGATGACGGAATATACCGCGTTTACCCTACTGGTCTACATTTAGGACTCACAAATGAACTTGAGGAAGAGTCTAAAAAACTCTGTGCTTTGCCACTTTGACTCCAAGTATGTCGCACCATAAGCGGCGGAAGGAGAGCAGTGTGTCTTCGTCTTCAGAGGAGGGCACCGGCTCTTCTTCCTTGCCTGCCTTGAGAGCTCTTACTGAGCCCAACTTGCCAATAAGAGATGCACCAAACGATCTCGATCTGATATGCATTCCTGAAACACCAAGCTTGCCATTACTTGATGCATCCACAGCAATTCCAGGCTCTGCTCATGGGAGATCACTCAGATCAGCTGCCTCAGATTTAAGCCCTGGTGACAAGACTGGCTCTCCTAAGGATAGTAACTTTGAGGGCTTCTATGGAAAAAATGACTTGTGTGGGATCTCCACAAGCTCAGTGACCTCTGAGGATGAGATCTTGACTCCTGCTCAGAGACCTGGCACACAAAAGTACAGGAGAAATTTCACCCAGTTTACTGGAGAGACAGGAAGTCTAGTCCCTGATTCCTCCAACCTCAGAAAGGTTATCATTATTGAGCCAGTGGCTTATGATCACCCTGTTGAAAAATTTTTCTCAAATGATTTAGCTCTCAGCAAGGCATTAGCTGAGTCTCCTTTTGGTAGAGCTGGAATTGCTAAATTCAATGAAAATCTAGGTCATAAGCTCCTAGTGATTACCTTGCAGGATGAGCCAGGCATTGAGATATCTGTTCTGTTAACCACCACTCAACTTGGTTCTTGGACCATAAAATGTCGTGTGCCCATCAACCACTCAAAGTTGGTTGGAGTTATTGGGCCTATGGGTGAGGATGTTACAAATGAGGAACTTGCTGAAGCACTGGCTTTAGCTGGCTATACTGGTGCAACTGCAGAGAGAATTCAAAAAGGTAAAGAAAAGACCAACACCTCTATGTTTAAAGTGACTCTTCACACGAGCACTCTACCCACTGTTATCCAACATGGATACCAGCAATTTCAAGTAAACCCATACACTGCCAAGCCATGGCAGTGCTTCAATTGTCAAAGATTTGGGCACAGTGCCATAAGCTGCAGAAGCGCTCCACGCTGTGTTAAGTGTGGTGGTGCCCACAGCATTAAAGATTGCACAACTCAAGGTCCTCCTTGCTGCTGTAATTGCGGAGGTGAGCATACAGCTAGCTACGGAGGGTGTAAATTCATGAAAGAGGCACAGATGGTAGTCAGAGCTCAGCAAGGAACCTCTTATAGGGATGCTCATAAAGCTGTCCAACTCTCTGCCAATAACCATGTATCTAATGCAACATCTACTAATACCACCAACATATATTTGCCGCAGCCTACTCTGCCCTCAGTTGCCCCAAATGAGCCCAGAACCTGGGCTCAAAAAGTAAAATTTCAGCATAATCATACCGTCCAAACAGTAAGCACAGGAACCCAGACCCAGGATGACCCTGCCCCTTTCACCTTGCAAGGCATAACTGTGAACAAATTCATTGAACTCATGTGTAAAATCATTTCTGCTTGCAACCACTCAGACAACTTAGACATTGTAAAAACTGTTACAGACCTAACCAAGGAAACTTTAAATCATTACAGCCCTGTCACTGCATGCACTGATGTTCCTATTAGTGCAGGTGTTGTACCTCAACCTGATCCCAGCACCAGACCAGCCCAAGGCTCTACCAATGATCCCAGTGAGGCAACACTTCCCATGGATGTTGAGGGGACTGAAGCTTTCCCTGATCCATCTCCTGTCATTGGAAAGCGCACTGCCAGGGCATCTCATAGACCTACTAAACCTGGAGGTAACCAGGGACTGAACAAAGGTAAGAGTAAATGTAAAGGTATAAATAACAATTTACCAGTAACCAAAGATAAAACAAGCCTCTCCCAAAAATGTCCTACATCCAGGAACTGAAAATTTTACAGTGGAACTTTCATAGTATTAGCAACAAGCTTAGCAACTTTAAATTGCATATATACACCAGCAAACCACATGTTGTCTGCTTGTCAGAAACCTGGCTTTCACAGCATTATGAACCTAATTTCATCAATTACAATGTAATTTATAAACATAGAGGTGCCCCTCAGGCTGGGGGGGGGGCCTTGCCATTCTTGTTCGAAGTGACATCACATATCTGGAACAGGACTTGCAACCTTTTCCCCAAGGCTTTCTTGAAGTGTGTGCTATTAAAATTTATCTTAAAAATGATGTACCTTTATCAATCCTGAATGTTTATAATCCAAATGAGAATGTGTTGCCTCAGGAATTCAATCATTACTTTCTTCAGTTAGAACCATCTTGCCTAATAGTAGGAGATTTCAATGCACATAGCCCCATCAGGGAACCTGGCAAAACTCCAAACCATAGTGGTAGGAGCTTAGAAAGCATTATAATCAACAATGCTTCACTTTCACTATTATTTCCACCATCTCTCCCAACATTTTTCAGTGCTTACCATAACTCCTTTTCAACTTTAGATCTCTCAATAATCTCTACTAACTTGCTGCCTATATCATCAGTGAGCACAGAGAGTGACATGTGTAGTGATCACTACCCAGTTATCACCAGTGTTGGCATAGAGCCCTCAACAGTCCAGTATAGAGCCCAACCATCCTGGAGGTTTGAGGGGGGCTTGTGGGGTGCGTGGGCTGTGGCTCTGCAACAGACAGGCTTCACACCCTCGCAGGACTTTGAGGTTAGTTGGTCAAACTTTACAGATAGCATTGTGTCCTCTAGCTCTCAGGTATTCCCTCAAACAAAGGAATTTGTTAATCCTAGATTTAATAAGTCATGGTGGACACGTGAGTGTGCTCAAGCAGTGGAAGCCAGGAGAGCAGCAAAGAGAGCTTTAATTTCTAATCCTTCACCCGCTACCCTCATTGCTTTTAAGAGGTGCAGTGCAAAAGTCAAGTGGGAAGTCAAGAGAGCAAAACGGGAGTCTTGGAGAGGCTATTGCAGCAAAATCACTTCTGATACACCTATCTCACAACTTTGGAAACAAGTTAAATGCCTAAGAACGCCATTGTGCGGAAATCACAGCCATTTATTCTGCCCAATGCTGTTGTTACAGACTCACTCAGTAAAGCCCAAGCACTCTCCCTCCATTATGAGCAGCTCCTCACGTGTCCAGCACCATCTCCTTATCCTAAACATATAATCCTGCCCCTTGCACTTGCCTTGAATGATGACACCCATTCTCCAATTAATGCGCCTTTTTCCCTTTATGAGCTTAAAAATTTCCTCAATCATTTAAAAAAACCTCTCCAGGATTAGACCGTGTTCACAATTTACATCTTTTGCATTTACCTCCAAACCACACGAAGTGGCTCCTCAGTCTTTTCAATCAAAGTCTCCATTCTGCTGTTGTCCCGGAACCTTGGAAAGCTGCTCTAATTCTGCCCATCCCTAAACGGGCCAAGAGTCTCACCTCAGTTTCATCATATAGACCCATCTCACTCCTCTCATGCATCAGTAAACTATTAGAATCATTAATTAACAAAAGGCTAGGATTCTTTCTTGAGCAGAATGGCTCCCTTAGGCCATCACAGGGGGGCTTTCGTCGTCGCCTTGCTGGGGTGGACCAGGTGGCCAGACTAGAGGCTGCCATTCGCGCTGCCCTCACGGCCAGAACACCACTAGTTGCGGTATTTTGTGACTTATCCAATGCTTTTGATAGAGTCTGGCATACTGGCTTATTATATAAGCTGAGCCAATGTGGGGTCCACGGTGCCCTGTTAAGATGGCTGAGAGCCTACCTTACAGACTGGACTTTCCATGTGCAGTTTGAGGGTCAAGTGTCATCCTTAAGACAAATCAAATCTGGGGTACCACAGGGAGCAACAATACTCTCACCTCTTTTATTTAATGTCATGATGAGAGACCTCCCATCGGTGCAGGGGGTGCACACGGTGGACTATGCCGACGACGTGGCCTTTTTCTCTTATGGTCCTGACCTTGCCATCACTACTGAAAAAATTCAAACACAATTGACCAAATTCTTTGAATGGACCAAGATGTGGGGTCTGGCCGTAAATCACTTGAAGACAAAATGCATGTTATTTTCCAACAAAAAAGTCACAGCTATTCCACTGTACATTGGTGACTCGGCTCTTGAATATGTGAATCAACACCGCTATCTCGGCGTTGTCCTAGATGCCCCTCGGCTCCGGTGGGAACCTCAAATTGCTTCACTTAGATTATCTTGTATACCTATTACCAACTTACTCAAGTCTATTTCAGGAAGACACTGGGGTGCAGACAGAGCTCTTCTGTTGAAACTGTATAGAGTGTTGATTCGCAGTCGTTTAGACTATGCAGCTGCTTTTTATGCCTCTGCAGCCCCTACTAATCTCAGTAAACTGAACGTCATACAGAATAATTGCTTGAGAATTGCCCTAGGATGTAGAACTACCCCGGTTCCGTCTATGGAGGTCGACGCCCATATTCCACCTCTTTCTGTGCACCGAAAGGAAGTAATATGAAAATATTACTTTCGTCTCATACAATTACCTCAGTGCCCTATAATAAATGAATTGTTTCATCCGAATGTTCATCCCCCTTTACCCTGCAGGGCTTCATCCCAACCAATAAGTTTCATCTCCCACGCCCGAACCGTCATGTCAACCCTGCAGATTCCTGCTCCTCGCTTGCTTAAATCTCCTCTTATATCTCCTATGCCCCCCTGGTTCAATACAGATGATTATTTTTCAGATCAATTTTCCTCTGCTTCAGTATCAGTTACCTCTCCGGAGGCTGCCATACAGATTTTTTCAGAACTGAGTAACTCTAAGTTCCCTGCTCACACAGCCATCTACACGGATGGGTCACAGGTCAAGACCCCTGTTCCTTCCACATCAGCTGCGCTCTTCATCACATCCAAAGGTGTTTTGCTGAGCTGGAAACTCCGGCCGGAGGTTGAGGTGATAGAGTCGGAGCTCTTTGCTATACGGGAAGCCTTGAGTTGGTCCCAGACAAATCTACTCGTGATAGAAAAAATTGTTATATATACTGATTCACAAGCATCTGTTCATCTGATTAAAAATAGACAACCTTCATGCTACCTTTTCCTAATATTTCAAATTCAATGTAAAATTATGTCCCTAACAGCCTCGCATGAGGTATTCATCCAATACATCCCTGGACATAAAGGAATCTCTGGCAATGAGACAGCAGATCAGGCAGCCCGGGATGCCCACTCTCTCCGATATCGCACCATCACCCCAATGTCCAAGGAGGAGCTGGTAAGACTCGCGCATGACAGAGTCCAGGCTAGCTGGAACCAATCCTGGCTGGATAATGTCAACAGCTCAGGCAAAGGCCAATTCCTCACAACCATAAAACATGAAGTAAGTTACTGGCCTTGGGCTCAGAATAATAAACGTTCAATAGAGACTGCCTTGGCTAGGCTACGCCCGGGCCATGCTGGTGTTAGGGCCCATTTAGCCCGCTTTAAGATGTGTGACAGTTCACTCTGCACTTGCGGTTCTCTTGAAACCATAGAACATTTGCTGCTTCACTGCCCTCAGCATGCCCCTGTGCAAGCCAATTTAACCAATACTCTAGCTCGGCTCAATATCCCCGTCACACTGCAGAACTTGCTTGGCGGGGGCACCTATCCTAGCCCTATCCAGTACTTAATAGTTGATGCAGTAGCTACATTTTTAACAGCTACTAACACCCTTCATTTACTCTGAGAAATGCATTAGCTCTCTTAGTCCCGATGTAACTAACTAAAACTTGTGGGTAACTAACACTCAAATCATACACATTTACTTACTGCTGGCATTGATCTGAGTGCCTAATTTGAGGTGAGCAGAAACACTCTCTGCAGTCTTTTTAGGAACAGGTTTTAGGACTTCTGTGTACCGCCGGTCGTGACTGCTCTTTGTAAAGATTGTTGCTGTTCACCTTAAATCCATCCTTAATCTTTGATCCTTCAGAGACAGCCCACAGGAGCTTTGTTTGTTTGTGAGGTAGCAACCCACAGTCTCATATTCTTGGACCAACTTGGTCAGAAGAAGCTCCAGGCTGTGCCGCCCAGGCTGTGCCGCCCAGGCTGTGCCGCCCAGGCTGGACCTTCGGTAGATTCCGCAATCTCATGTGAGGCATAGTGCAGGGCATGTCAGTAGATACTAATCCGGGATGATATATGAATAAGTTTTTTTCTTAACTCTTCTCATGCAAATAGTCACATATGTTATCTTACCTGATAGCAGCAATCTCCTAGCCAGTCCGCTTTTTACAGTGTCTTATCCCTGACGTTTTTCCCACAGACGTGTGACACTTGAATACCAACGTCCGGTCGAGGAGCTACCTTGGACAAGTCTCCAGAGCTCCTTCCAAATTCCGAATTAAGAAGGAAGATGAAGTCTGAATAATTGTTACATTGTCTTATTATCTCTTTATCCATCTTCAACGACGATCATTTGTTAGATTTAATCTTCAACAGATACGCACGTTGCCAAGGGTATTATTATTTACACTGTTCTTTCCATATTTTAATAGATGCTTACATCCAAAGCCCACCTTGTTATTCATTTTCACTGCATTAAAATCTTAGTTCTAGTATCTTTCATTTACAATCCTGTTGGTTTACTGTGTGGGTAATCGGTTAATGACTGGCAGTTACCCCACAAGAACATAAGAGAAATGTAGGTACATAAGAAAACTGGGCGTTGCATGCACCATCATGCCATGCAGGGCTTCGGTTCGGTGTTCAAAATTGGGACGTCTTGGGAAAGTGGTAGACCAATAGATCCAAATTCAGGGAGAAAATCATTTGCGTTCACTGCAAAAGCACCTGTGGCTGTGTGAGTGTCAGTGTGTAGATTGCATTCTCTAAAGTAACTGCTAAATTCTTAGTGGCAAAGCAGAGAGTTTTTTAGACTCTCCCTAAGATTCCCTCAAGTTCATTTTCGAGTCCTATAGGCTATAAGTAGACCAATAAAGTATCATGGATACCAGCATTATCAATTTTATCATATATAAAAAATTGGTTTAAATCTTGGGTAGATGAGAAAATTAAAAATGAACTGATTCTAAAAAATCTCTGGTTTGTCACTAGGGCCACTAGCCCTAGGCTATGGCTAAATTTGTTATTCAAAATTTCTTAGTTTTTTTTTTGTTTTTTTTTTTTGTATGACTAAGAATTATCATCTTAAGACAGTATTTCCTCATTAACCCGACTGGCTCTCATGGTTGAACTATACTGTTCAACTATGACTGGCTCTGGCTCTATCCCTCCGAGGCTCCGAGCTTTGCCAGTCCACCTCATACCCATACGTCTTGGTTAAACTAGTATATAGTTCAAGTTGTTCAACCATAAGTGATGAGTCTATCTCATTCAAGTTTTTTTTCTTCTTGTTTTCATTTGTGTACTAAATTACTTGAAGAGCTGATGCCTGTTCCAACTTCCACAAGGCAGATTTCAGCTGCCTTGTGGGTTGTGGTCAGGTTTTGGCCGGTGGCCCTCCAGTGGCGCTTGGAAGAGCAGAGCTTGCAGAGGCTTTTGTTGGCCGTTGGGGACTGGGGAAGCCTCTTCTGATGCTGTGATTGTGGAGAATTCTGAGTGTGAGAGCCTAATCAAAGCATTGAAAGCAACCCCTGTGCAGGCTGTGACTGTGTTCAGTTTGTTGCTGGAGAGCATTTAAGCAAAATACAGCTTAGGTAGGCAAAAAATTCAGAGGTTGGGAGAAGAATGGATTGGTGGTTTAATTTAATGTTAAATTACAAGACACAAGATTCTGGTAAATTTCACCTGCCTTTTCCTAATTTTTTCAGTGAAAATAAGAAAAACATCTTCTAGGTATTTACCTGCATTGTTCAAAAATCCTAAAATGGATTCCAGTTTGAGCTGCAGTTGACACCAGACACTGGATAACTTGCTCTGCAATTTCCTTGTATTACTGTGATTGGACTGTGTTAGGCCTACCTAGTCAAATAATTAATAAGGAAAGTAAAAAATAATTTTTATAATTAGGGTCATTCCATGCCAAGTGGTCTAACCCTTCCTGCCATCATGTCACCAATTATCTTCAAATTTTATCTGTAGCACTAGTGAAGTCCTAAACTAAGTTTTCCAAAATATTAGGCCTCTAGCTGCAATAGTTGCTGATCTAGAGCCCCTTGTCTGAATGGTAGTCAGTCCATGTGCATGCACCATTGGACAAAATGCCATTTTTGGGGTCCAATAAAATTGAAACTAATTTATAAAAAATGGCTAGTATGATGAGATCCTGTACAGTTTTTGGTGCTGATTCTGATAAAATTACTTTTAACATTACTGATGCAAAATTCAGCCAAACAAATTGACTCAAAATGTACCTCAAAATTTGTTTCGACTTGACGCAAAAAATTTTGACCAATATTTAGACTGCAACAATTTCCTTGCAGATCAAGATATGAACTTGAACTTTTGAACAAGCTTTATACTTGTGCTGGACATAATATAGCCAGATTTTCAGCTTTCCAGACCCTATAGCTGTCCTGCAGGATCTCTTCAAATTTGTCAAGGTCAGCACAAATGGTCAAATTTACCAAAGTTCAAAGCCAGTTGCTAAAAAATAGTCAGCCCAAACCTGCTTGTGCATAAAATCATCTAAAAGAGAAAATCTTGCTCTACAAGACCTATGTATTCTTTTTTTTGCAATGCGACCATTAAGTATTTGTTTACTCAGGTCAAAATAAGTTATATTTTGTATACACTACCGTCAACCGGGGCAACTCGGGACGCACCTCTGACACGTCGTAAAACAGTCATAGTAGTGAAACTAATTGGAATATTGCTAAACTAAATATAGTGGCCTAAACAACAACATTTTTCCTATCTATGTAGTATAAAGGAAGTTTCTACAACACCAGACAAATTCATCCTGGCAATGGTCCTGTTCCAAATGTGCATATTGAGGAATAAATTTGCAGACATGACAGCACAAAAAACACTTCTACTACCACATGCAGTGTCAGCAGACAGCAGTGACAACAACTGTTGAACAGCATACTCAAAATATTGAACTGAAACATTCGATTTTACTACTCTTCCAAAAACAGTGGCAACTGCGTTTGGAAAATTCCTCTATAAAACTTCTTCCTATAAAAGCATCCTTGGCAAGCTCCTTATCTAGCAATCCAGCTATCTCAAGTCCCACTTGCTTAACTCTGACTGAGAGCTACATGTCTCACTATCCAGCACCTGTTCACTGGGAGTCTGCCAGCTTGCTGTGCTCCATGCGGCACATACTGGACAACCTTGTATTTGCTCCTAGAATGTCCACTACTGCGACAACCATACAAGACACAAGCAAAATTGCCAAAGACTTGGATGGCCATTTTCCTTGGAAATTCTTTTGATTTGAGGGACAAGTTCCCTCTAGAATTACTAGTAAATTACCTGACTATGACCAGATTCATTGACAAGATATAAGCACAAGACACACCTGCCCTGATCAAAGCAGCTATGCCTGGGTAGGCAGGAGCTGAAGATATAACAAGAATTTCACAAAGCCATCATAACCTATCCAAAAAAACCATCCTAAACTTTGAGTTTAGGACCTTCATAAACTTATGCATCAGTTGAGAAAATCTCAGTGGGAATTATCTCTGTGGGGTTGTGGGGTTACATTTGACATATTTTCAGAGGCTCTTGCAAATCCTTGAAGAAATCATAAGCTGGGTTGCAGGACAGTTGCTGGGTACCTGGATCAGCATCTGCTGCAAGCCTGCAACACTTGTTAGGCTCAATCTGTCATCTGAATAAATATTATGCCAGTTGTGAAGCTTCATGGATATGTCACCGCAGCTTCAATAATCTCCAAACAAACAACATCTGAAAGCAGATACTGTTATGCTTTGTTGGGTCTAGCTTCAACTTTCTAGTGGTTGACTCACCTGAGTCCTGACTGTCACTGATGGCTTCTTTGTTTTCATTTATCAGCCCAATATTGATCCATTAAAATGGTTTTCTGTCTTGCAGACAAATTGAGTGAACAATGAATCCAGAATTTAATGAATTTATTGTATTATGATGGTGCAGAATGCAGATTGTTCATCCCCATATTAACTTTTAACCTATTTCTCCAGTCAAGAGAATGCTGAATATTGAAATACTGAGGTAAATCACATTTACATCAATGTTGTTATTTTTGATTTGTGGTGTTTTTGCTCCACAATACTGTGTAGTTACTAAATCCTACTTATTACAGTGTCAATACTAATCCACAGAAGATAATTTCAATTGTTGAAGGTGATTATTTATAGCCTAAATAAAAAAGTGAAAATATATTATTTTCTTCTCTTTGGGAATTGGTACATCCAGTGTCCACTGTCACTGTGGAATATATGTCTGCTTTTCAAGCTGCAAATAGAGCTTTCCTGCCATTTTTGGAGCTACAGATTTCCTGCTAGATGATCGAACTTTAGTTGGTGCTGTTTTCCATGGATAAATCTGGTGCCTATTTGGAATATTGGGCAGAAGTTTCCTAAAATTGTAGGTAAAAATGATCATTTCATGGGTGATTTTAAAAAATTGCAGATGAAAATGGGCTGTTTCTATCATTTAATACTGAAGAAATTAGAAAAAGGCAATAGGAATGGGTGAAATTTACAAGATCCATGGGTGTTTTTGCCCAATTTTCAGGTGGCTTCTACCCGATTTTCAGGTGGCTTCTACCCGATTTTTCACTTAGGATCTTGTGTGAGGCTTACAGCCTCATGGCTGTAAGCCCTTAGCACTGGCATATGCCCTGGCATACAAGGAGCTATGTATAATTATATTCCTGGTCTAAGGGCTGGGTTTACATCTGGGTCTGGTATGCATGCTGCTAAAAAAACTCCAAATCTTTTATAACCATCTGTTTTAACTGGTATAAACTTGAAAAGCAATGTTTATATGGTTTTTAAACTGGTATAAACAAGTATAAACTTGGAAATGGTCTTAAGTTATTTCAAAACTAGCATAAATTGTTATAAACTTTAACAACCATGTTAATACTGATGTACGGTATAGTGTTCAGATGTAGTGCTGGTGCCTGGTGGTCCACATTGTTTCAAAACAAGTATAAACCAGTATATACTTGTAGAGCTGTATTTGCATTGCTTCAAAACCAGTATAAAATGTAAAAGCAGCTTTTTTAATCATTATGATGCGGTGCTGTGGCCAATGACTGCATTGATGATGTCATCAAGAGATTCAGTGTACTCAAAGAGACTCAGTGGCATACTGTAACTGTGGTGCATTTGTCTTTTAGCATCCTTGCTATGGCATAAGAAACCAAAGTGACTATAATCTCTGGCATACTGACGTACATCCCAGTACATAAAAAACTGCAGCAAGCACACAACACTTTCCAGGTATAGGATAGATGAATTACCTCTTATCTAATTGTTAACAAAAGTACACAATGGGGCCACATGATTCCAAATTTGTGAAATTTTTTGTCACTATAGAGCTGCAAGAATTTATGTAGAAGTAGGAAAATTCCAACTTCATTTTTTGTGAAATGTCCACCCATTAAGGGCTGGTCATTCTAGAAATTTGGGCATGAGCCACCTCTTCCACCTGTAAATGGGACAAAAATGCCTAAGCCAAAGTGGCAAATGATTACTTTTTATTCCAGATTCCATTCATTGGAATGGATCAAGATCACTTGATCAAACTAGATCAAGTTCATTCCAGATTCCCAGATCCAGTTGAAAAATTTGCTGGGTAGACTTTGGGTCACAGGTGTAGTTTTGTGTAATATCAGAGAGTGCTTGTATAGGTGTGCCAAAGTGAAAAATTGTACAGAAGCCACCAGTAAATGAGACAAAAACGCCTGAGCTCTTGATCAATTTCACCTATTTCTATGTCCTCTCCTTTATCTAATTCATTAGTAAAAATTCAGAACAATATGTTTTTGCTCATGATTTTCAAAAATCATTTGTGACAATTTTTTACACACTAATTTTCCAAATTTTTGTCTGATATTCCAGATTGATAATTTTGGGAAAGTAACCACTGAATTCTTCTTAGTCAAAAAGAAGTAGCATATGCATCGGATGCAATTACATCCTTTTGCCACACGGCCATGAAAGAAAGGTGGCATTTAAGTGGTCACGCAGTCATGGTGACAAACAAGAGAGTTTTATTTGTTGACCTTCTCTACTCTGAGCATTTACTTCCATAGGATAGCAAGCAAAAATCAGCCAAATTAAACTCTAAAAAAAAAATCAAAAATTTAATTCTAAAATCCTAAGTCTTGAAAATCTCCTGTTTGTGCTGTGTTAAATTCAATGTCTATTGTTACCAAGAAAGTAGGCAGCTGCAGCTGTGTGAATTGAATCCTCCCAGCACATGGCTCTGAACATATGTTTATTAGTGAATTTGCATATGTTTAATACTTTCTGGCAGGGTTGGTGATTTTTTTTATTAAAAAAATCAAAAAAATAAAAAATCAATGATTTTTTATTTTTTCATGATTTTTTTGATTTATTTGATTTTTTTTATTTTATCAACTCTTTTGTCTTTTTTAAGTGTTTTTTTATGTTGCAATTAGCCTACTAACAATAACAGTATATGGATCATAATGGATGGCTAAAAAGGGCACTTATTGCCTTCAATAATGGCCAACAGGCCAAGGTGGTGTTTACCACTTAGGGATTTTAGGGTAAACAATTATTGATAAGTCTATTCTTTAGCTTTATAAAGTTTGTATGGAGCAAGGTAATGAGCTAAATATTGACCATTTAACTGGCTTCAATATACAAAAACACTTCAGAAATGAGTCGTAGGAACGGAAAAACAGATCACAATCCTTCTAAACATTGAAGAGTCACATAACAGATAGGTAGCAGATAGCACAGTGCATAGCACTATCAATGGATCTAGGTACTAGTTTCATGTCCTATTAATCTACCAGACTCTACCCTCTATACACACCGACTAGTAGTGACTGAGTGACTGACTGCACTGTTCCCATTTAATTCAGACCAATAAACCAATACTAAACATAAACTGAAGGATAACCAAACAAACCTCATACGACTTGAAAGGAGACTTAAGTTATGAGAAAATCTAATACTGTTTGAAATAAACGTGTGCACAATTCAAATATTTTATATCCATTCACTGCATTTATATATAGCCTTATAATTGTAATTGTTTTGTTTCTAGTTTTAAATTTACATATTTAAAGATTGAAATTAAATATTTTAATTAGAATACCACTCATATTAGGGTGGAAAATCTTTCTAATTGTCTAAAACAATCTCAACCTCTCAATATACACGGTGGGGGAGAACTGATTGAGCAGTTTTGAGGTAAAATAAAGGTAATGGAGGTACATAAAGAAGAAAGATTATTTTCCTAGAGGTTAGCATAACATACCATTTAGAATACTAATGTTTTGAAAACAATATCTGGAAGATGGGGGCCATTAGCAGCAACACACTGTTGGAGTCATTCTCAGAGTAGGGAGTAACCATAACAGTGAATTCCGATTGCTATGCTGCAATGTTGCAAAATTTGCTATGCTGCAATGTTGCCAAATTTCTTGCAGCCCATGATGGAAAACATTGTTGAAAATGAAGCATTGGGAGACGTGTGGTCCCAGCAGGATGGGGCTACAGCTCACACTGCCCGAATGTCACTCAATGTTTTGAAACCCATGTTCCCAGACTCTGAGGGGTGATTTACAGTGGCCTGCAAGGTCACCTTATTTGAGCATTTGCGATTTCTTTCTTTGGGGACATCTAAAAGAAAGGTGTTCAGAAGTCGCCCCCACACCCTACCACAGCTAAGGGAACGGATTATTGCAGCAGAGGTTATGGCCATACCTTGCCATATGTGTGAACGTGCTGTAGAAAACATCCGAGAATGACTCCAACAGTGTGATGCAGCTAACAAACCCCATCTTCCTGATATTGCTTTCAAAACATAAGTATTTTAAATGGTATGTTATGCTAATCTTGAGGAAAATAAACTTTCTTCTTTATGTATCTCCATTACTCTTTTATTTTGCTTCAAAACTGTTCAATCAGTTCTGCCCCACCCTGTATAAGCTAGCTAACACATTTAAATTGTATATTGTAATCAATATATAACATATAGTCAAATAGTTAAAGACTACTTATAGCCTTATAAGAATTAGCTAAGCTGCTAGATATGTACAATGTATTGCACAGTTGATGCCTCTGTACCAAAAACATTCAATTTATTGGAACCTAATACACACTAAAGGCAACAAGTTTATATACCAATTTGTCATTCATAGTACATTTATACTAAACCATGAATAACAATACCTCAATATAAATTAAAGACTGCCACTCAATATATTTAAATATATGAAAAAATAAAAAATCAAAGAATAAAAAAAAATTTTTATAAAAAATCAAATGATTTAATCACATGATTTAATCATTGCCAACCCTGCTTTCTGGCAATAGGTGGCTGTGAGATGAAGCATGTACATTTTTTCATGTACATTTTTTAGTGAATATACATACATTCAATGTGTTCCGATACCAATTGTGAGGCAGCTATGGCTGTGCAATGAGGAAATTGTATCCCATTGCCAGCATCTATGAATGTACTTTATTAGTGACCTTACAAATGTTCAATGCCTGCTGCTGTGCACTGATGTCATGGTATCCTCTCTCTGTGCATCTATGAATTTATGTTTATTACATACATTCAATGCCTGCTGCTGCAGATAGCAGCTGCAGCTGTGGGTTGACATATCCTTGTGCGGTGTGGCCACGTGCAGGTGTGTATTAGTGCCCAATGCTGCTTTCAATTCTGGCTGCTACCATCCTCTCATCTCATGCAGACCATTGGTCTGTGCAAACCATTGGACTTTCCAAGGTCATCAAATTTGCATCTGAAATATCAGTCTAAGCCTTCATCTTTCTGAAATAGTTTATCTATAGACTATAAATAGTCCATAGACTTTTTTGTAAACCTTTCTTATTGAGTAGACCACTAAGTATCTGGATACCAGCATTAACATATTACAGATATTGAACAAAATCTTGGAGTTGAACCCTATATTAAAAATGAACTATTTCTAAAATCTTCTTTTTTGCCACTATGCTAAGCTGCAACTGTTGTTTTAGAGCCATGTATTTCTTAAATTTGTGAGTTAAAAAATCAAGAAAGTTCTGTGTTGGAAATTTTTGGAACTTTAACACCTTGGTAGCAATGTACGCCATAGATGTACATGCTGCACTTATATTTATATATATACATGCTAAACTTTATAAAGTCAACTTTCTCTTTCAAATTCACAATTTCAATGATACAACTCTGCAGATCTGTTAGGGAGGGCCTTGAAGTAATCTAATGCATGAAGAAATAGTTTTATTTTCAAATGCAAGTGGTAGGTACAAAAATGACAAAATTCATGTCCATTGATAAAAGCAAAACATTGGTATCACTGCATGAAAACAAAATAAAATATTGTATATTCCTCTTATACTATAAACATTGAATGTTGACAATAGCATCATATTTCATGCGCAAAAAATAATGCACAAGTATGGTTTGCCTTCACAGTTATCACAGTAGGTTGTCACCCTATAAGGCTTCACCCTTACTGTGGCCCTTACTTCATTTGCCGACAGCATTTTGTAGCATTCAAGGCAGTGCTTCCTGGTTTTAGTTGTAGTTGGTTCAATCAAAGTGTGCTACCCTTTTTTCCCCTTGATAGTTTGAGATCTACATCCTGATTTTATCCTCTCTGAGTGGCTACCTGTAACAAGAAATATTGCTAATTGCTCTCTAAATTGTGTACCTAATTGAAATCAAAGTGTGAGAATAGTAATTATTGTAGAATACCCATGCATTGACAATTGATGTGCCAGTTGGCAGCTCAACTGCCACTTTCCAGTACCATTTGTGCTTTGTCTTATACCCTTACTGTATATGAAGTCATCTGATCTGAGATGTCTATGCCTCTTTTAGCTGCAATATAATCAATTACGCATCCTGGCTTCATAATTTCAATGCCATTATGGTTTTTCTAGGAAAAACTTTTCTAAGAAGAATGCGAATATAAACCGTAACCTGACAAAATTTTCCAGTTTTTTTTGTTGCTTGTTGATAGTGACATGTTTTAATTCTACTGGTATCTGAGTTTAGGTTAGGTTAGGTTTGGTTAGGTTAGGTTTGGTTTGGCTAGGTTAGGTTAGTTTAGGTAAGGTTAGGTTAGATTGGGTTAGTATAAGGTTAGTTTATATGGGTAATGGTGTACTTTAGATTGGTGGAAGGTTTTTTTGTTTGGTTGTTTGTGTAAAGGAGTGAATGTTTTTTTGATGCATGCCAGTGTTTATATTGTATGGTACTGTAAAAGGGGGTAACTTATTAGACTACTTTTATTTTAAATGATGCCATTTTTTATTAGCTGATTTAAACTTAAATTGAAACAGGCAAAATACAGGTCAATACTCTAGGTTCACTCACCATAAATTGCTGGCTCCTGCCTCTCATATTTTTGATGTAATTTCCAAAAAAAGTGATGGTCTTTGTTACCTCAGCTCTTGGGGTATCTTAGACTGGGTGGTAAAATCAATCATATCTTTTGGTAAAAGAACTCCAAATAACTCCAGGTTTTGGTGCATTGTAGTAAAACTCTTCTAGTTACATATGCAAATGACAAATTTGAGGAAAGTGTCATGATTTGCAAATGGGGTGGGCGCCACCCCCAATTGGGGGAACTTAGACCACTTCATGTCTGCTGTGACGGGGTAATATTGACCGGCTTGGAAATTAAGTTGAAATTACCATATGTAAGACTCTGTAGAGTCTGAAACCTAAAGAAAAAACATTAATAGGTGTAACAAACATAAAATATGTTACCNAAACTTGCTTCTGAAATGTTTCATGGTAAGAAGTTATTAACAAAAAACCCTCAAAACCGTCCCTTTTTACCCTGTTTGACGGTATTGGATTTTTACAGTTCATGCATGGAATTGCATAGAGATTTGTTTGTATAATGTGTCTTGTTTTGAGATAGGCATGGACAAGTACATTCTGTTATTGTGTTTTTGTATACTGTTGTGTAATTGTTATGTTTTGTATATGTTGAATTATAGAGAATATTCAATATTGTATATAAATAAAGATGAAGGGATGGGTAGTTTATGATTTTACCTTAGCAAAATTTAGTTCTTTGTGTTCATAATTCTTGATGTCTTTTAGTTTGACCTCAATGTCAGACCAGAAAATCTGGAGGAAACTCTATGGTTGATTAATTTAATTTTGTATGCACTTTTTTATGCTAATTTTATGCCTGCAATTGATTTCATTATTTGGTTCATGTGTAATATAGGCATCATTAGAGGTTTTCAAAATGCATGAAAATAAATGTTTTTATCTTTTGTTTTGTTTTTTTGTAAGAATCAGCACTACATTTCACCCTAGATGCCAAGATGAAGTATATCAAGAAATGAGCTTTCTTTTGATTTGACATTCTTTTTAAGTTGAGAATTCAATTTGTTCAGAGATTGTTGGTTGAAATGGCATTTTCTAAATTATTGTCCTTGATGAAGTATCCCATATGCAATGGATTTACGTATGAAGTATTCCATGGGCAAATTAAATCTTGGCTCATTTCTCATTTGTTTCTGCCTTTTTTCAGAGACGTATGTCATTTGAGTTGAAAATGTCTAATTCATTATTTTTAGTTTATTTATATTGTGCCTGTTGTTTGACTTCAAGTCTTCAAATGTGGCTACTTTTTTATCATTGATGGCTTGTTATTCTTTCAAATGTATATCTATGACAACTTTTCAGTCCACTACTACCCTACCAGCTTTGCCAGATAAAAAAAAATGGCACCAAGCCACCCATTAGGGAGCCCAAATTGCCTGCTCTCATCAATAATAACTCCCATGCTATAAATAATTTATCCATGCCAATTAATTGAAATAAACATATATTCACTAACAATTTTTTGAACAATGTTCAAATAGTTCTTTTAATCCGAAGTTATTGCAGAAGTAGATCAAAATTAATGTAGAGTTGATAGCCTCAATCAATGGCTGTGATGATCAGCCATAGAAATTTCAGTTGATTAAGCAAGAAAATTGTCTTGACATATTAATTTTGGCCTCTGAAATATAATTTGATTATCTTTTACCTACAATAACAATCAATTTTTTAATAATTATAGGGCTTAGTATATTTGTGCAGTTCTCAAAATTAACTGATGGCTAATGTAATAAATCTTGATTGTTCATTAGCATGTGCTTCACATGTCCATACATGCTTGAAGACAGGTGTGTTCCAGGCACTCACTAAGTTCAATGTCAGTTACCTCATTATTGTAAATCAAAAGCTTGCCTCGTTGCAGGGCTTTTAAATAATTGAGCCTTGTCTGCCCATGCTAAAATTTCTGGAAATTTTGCAGATGCTTGAGTCCCCAGTTCGAGTTGTTCGTGGAGGCCATGATGCATCTAGAGGATTGGAAATCATACAACAAAATATCAAAAACAAGCTGGCTTCCTCTCCTGATCTCAGCAGGTATAAGTTGAAACATCAAAAGACTGCAACATCTGGCTTTATTGCTGATAACAATATCTTTATTGCGCTACCTCCTCGGGGGGTCAAACTTGTCACTAAAACCTTCTAGGTTATAACATAATAACCTGTACCTAAGCTTCTCGTCAACTGCCTTGACCATATAGGTATTAATATCAGTACCACTTCACCTTACTGTCTTGACCTTGAAGTTATCAATATTGATACTTCTTTACCAAACTATCTCAATCTTAAAGCTATCAATATTTATGCCTTTTAATCTTACTATCTCAACCATAGTGATCATAAACCACTGTGTATCATTTGTCAATTATCCTGATCTGTATCTATTATAAATTTCCGTGGTTGGTATTGATTGCTAACCCCCAACTGCATCTATCATTCCTTGGCAACTTTTGGGCGTCCTTGACCTATGATTGTGTAATAATTTTTAGTCTGGCATTGAAACATTAACTCAGATACGCAAACAAAATTCTATGTCCAAATGGGTTAGCTGTCAGTAGTATTTTTTCCATAGAAATAAAGGCTTGGCTCACCAATGTCAATACTAATAGCACCTATATGAGAGAAAAATATTTAATTTTCCTTTCTTTATGAGTTGTATTTATTTTGTGTGTCAACATCCAACAAGTTGATTTTGTTAATCAACATTTTGGCACATATATGATGCCATTGTTGATGCATTGTTCAAATTTAATAATTCTATCTTCATTGCTGTGATACTTTAAATAAAATTTAATTCCATAGAACTTGAGAGAAAGAACTAACTCTACCATCTATCTACTGATATATCTTGTCAAACTTGGAAGTATAGCATGAAGATTGCAACATGAAAGTACAGAGAGAATCAAATGTCTGTTTGTATAATCGCATTTTGAATATTTAATATATACACGAGACTTGATAATTTAAAATAGTCATTCATAAATGTATCCCCAAAATTTCCTTCAATCATAAGCTCTGCTGAGGAACTCGCGGCTGCTCAAAGAGCCTGGGAGTCTGTGCAATGTGTGGAGCCTACAGCTGTCGGTCTCGGCAGTACCCACACCGGCACCGACTCAGCTGATACTATAGACAAGAAGCCTATCCCTGCACACACACCCTCACAATCTTCCACACCTTCCATAATTGGCACCGCTTCCAACACCAAGAGCCGCTCCTCTGCCACACATTGCTCCTCGTCACATCACAGTCTGCAAGATCAGTACGAAGAGCCTTTGGAAGACCAGTTTCAGCTCGTCACGCTCCAGGTAGGACTCCATTTTAATTCTTCAACCTGGACTCCATTTTAATTCTTCAGTGATCTTATTATTTTTAACTTTGATATAATATATTCTGCTATTGATTGTTGAAATAAATCCGAATTAGCTTCAGAACTTGTTGCTTCTTGTTTATATTTTTTATTTATTGAATATCCTGATAGCTATCTCTAATGTGAATATTTATCCACTAACAAACAGGATGGCTCTGATCCAAAGTATGAGAGCATTTCCCACCCAGGCTGGTCTTCACAGCACAAACTTCACCCCCAGACTGGCAGGCCGCCCCTGCAGCACCAGAGAGATTGTCATAGAGGAGTCATGGAGGTGCCTCGACCAGCGCTGGTGCCTCCACTCAGCAGCTCCTTGGTTCACCTCACACCAGGACTTACTGTCACTCCTACCATTGATTTTGAGGAGGCATGGCAATTCTTCCTAAGGCAGGATATGAGTCATGTCAAGGTACGTGTACATTTACTACAGACATAATCTTGATCCTAATTCTTCCTATGTTATAATTTTAGGTATTTGTGTCAAGATTAACATTATGCACAAAGCTTTTATATGTAAATAAATTTTCTTCGTTTTCAAAACCTCCTATGCAAATACGACGATAGAGATGAAAATGAATGTTTACATGTCAAAAACTAATACGGCCACATTATTTTAAAAGGCTGATGTCAATCACAGTGTGTTTTATCACTTCTTAGTTTTCTCTTTGATCTGTACAGGGGAGCATACGACCAACTGTTGAAAAGCGTGGTGTGCCAGGTCTATTACGTGAACTTTTTGGACCGCGCAAACTAAAACCGGAACTCATTCCTGAGCGTGACCTGATATTCTGCATTGCCCAGTGCCCCATGAGCAACAGCGAGCCTCTGCACCTGCAGATGCTGCAAACCATCTACAAGGCCCTCACCGGCACACGGGCAGACTGTCCCAGATATGGACCTCACTGGGATATTATTGGTTTCCAGGTCTCTTTCATTTAATTGTCTTGGTTCTTGTTCCTTCAGTATTGCTTGCTTGGACATGGTGGCATTCAGTTTGTGTAACTCTCTTTTATCCAATATATTCTTCTGTCATTCACAAAATTTTTATTTAATTTTATGGCTAGTGTCCGAACACAAGACACTTAACTCTTGCACTCAAAGGTGTGGAAAATAACTGCTCTTGAATTAGCATTGTGATAATTGACAGTACTTTTTCACAGATTCATCTTCGAGTTCTCATAATATTTGTAAATTAATTGAATTTGTGTGAAGGAAGACATGCTCTATCATGTTTGTCCTTTGTGCGAAATGCAATTATAATAAAATAGATTTGAAGGATATTTTGCATGCTGTTTGTCATCCTTTTTCCTATGCGAATCTCGAAAAAATTTTCTGCTTCGATGAAATTGTTCTTAAAAATGAAATGAAAATTGTTCTTAAAAATGTTCACGAGAACTCACTTATGCTAACAAAATAATTAATACTGGAAATGGCTCTACTAGTATTCTCTAGATTTTCTGCATGGAAATGACCCTCGTTACTCGGTAAATTATCCTGCAGGGAAGTGACCCGAGCACCGACTTGCGTGGTGTGGGGCTGCTAGGGCTGGTGCAGATGGTGTCGCTGGTGTGTGGGGAGCAGAGCCAGCATCTGGCCGCCGACGTCTTCGCCCTCAGTCACGACCAACACTCGCAGTTCCCTCTCATGGTGCTGTGTCTCAACGTTACCAGGATCGCGCTACAGGCCCTCAGGGAAGGATGTTTAAACAAGTGAGGTATAAATCCATCCTGGCTCCATGCCACGTGTGACCATCACTGAACTGCATTCGTTCTCATTGTATTCTACAAAAGAATAATTTTCGAAACGAACAAGTGTGAATTGCTAATTAAGCCATGCTTTCTATTGTTCTTGTTGCTGTTAGTTGCGCCGACGTTCTCGCACACGCGGGAGGTGAGCAAAGGTAGCTAGGTTGGCCAAAAAGTCCACGGGACTCTCACAGTGTAGAGCTCGTCCGACCCTGAAGGTGTAGAATGCTAGGATACTGCAGTGGCCAGCGCGGAGCTGTACCAGCGATGAGGGAGGAGAAACCCGCTTATTTGAGGCGATGAGGGGCAGTGGGGCAACCAGAACCCTTTTGATTCCAGCGCTTCAGTTGAAAATTTATCGGCGGGGAGTCTGCTTTGCCTCAAGAGCTGGCCGGCATGACACCGTCCCTTTGGAGGGCCGCCATATGTTGGCCAAATCTGGACCGAAAGGTAGCAGAAGTCATGGGTGAGAAACGATGTGAAAGGTTGGGTGGTGGGGCCTAAGGATGCTGTCCAGTAATTATGCACAAGAAAAGTACAGTTGGGCAGGCTAAAGAAGAATGCCTTCCTAAGTATTTTGGTCATCGTGAGTCATACGTTTGCTATCCTCAAGTCCGTGCTCTGAATCGTCTGTACGTTTGCCACTGCGGTGCGGGAAGTGAAAGGGTAAGAGGTGGGAGCTGCATAGTTTTTGATTGGGCGTGTGATGGTTCTGTATGTGACAATGATAACTTCCCTTGATAGGCTCTAATTGGTACCGGCCAGATGAGTAGATTTTTTGACCAAAGTAGATTTTTTTTCGACCGTCGGCGCAGACCGTACCGGCTAAAACCTCTAAATCTTTTGGGATAGTTTGGATGCCGGTCGCTTTTTGATTGTGCCTTTGACGATGAATGATGCAGAGTTATCTCGGAGGATGATGAAGTGAAAAGGGACTGGCTCAATGGCGGGCCAAGATGGAAGAGGAGTTTTGGGCCGAGCCGCTGACTCGAATATCGCTTGCGAGTCCGGTAGAAAGAAAACCGAGCAAGGGGGAGGTTCCGGGCTCGGGTGTGAAGTCTCTGAGACAGGAGCAGTAGGATGAAGAGATGTGTCGAAAACAAGGCAAAGAAATCCTTCAGAGAAGGAAGATCAGGCGGTCACATAAAGCGATAGTGGGCCTAGAGAACCGATGAACCGACTGGTCTCTTACTGGGTAAAAGGAGGTCGCATCCTTCGGTGTACGTGACTCTAGCGCGGAGGGCTCTGCCGTTTGACATTTTGGCATGTCTCGCGAGGCCAGCCAGAATCTCATCTCGTGGTGCAGCCATTTGATGTGCCGACCTCCTCGACCAAGACGCGGCAGAGATCAGGGCAGTTCCTTACTATTTTAAGGAACTGCCTTCGAGTGGTTCCTTACTATTTCTACGTCAAGTCATGATCGATCTGAAATTTATTGCGCCCATTTCGTTCGATCGCATGTTTCTTCTCACGGCATCTGTATTTTTTCAGGGAATGCAATAGCCGCGGGAACGTGCGTTTGGTAGTGAACGAGTTTTTCGCTGCAGTGCTGTACCACATTTATCACATCTGGAGGACTGAAAGAAAATCAATCACAGACTCCGGATACCTCATCAAAGGTTTGTATTGACAACCTGTGTTTGTTTCAAAGGACGAAACTTCTCGATGTAAGATGTGCTGCTAATTTAGCAAGGCAGCTTTTTCCAGCAAGTCACTGTTTACTGTTAAGTTTGACACATAATTCAACTATTACTTTTGTTAACGACGAACATCGTTCACTAATATTCATTATTCGATTGATGCGATCATTTGTTTTCATATGCATTTATGTTCATTCTGGCGAAATTATTCTATTACGTCTGGCGAAGCTGCGCCAATGAGATGTGAGTCAGACCTACAGCAGTTAGAACTGTGTCGTACTAGGTCAAGTCTGAGCGGCTGTGCGTCAGGTAGTTAGTCGTGTCCCGCCAGCCCTACAGTGAGGTTCATACCTGAACCCGCTCAGCTCTGTTAACTCTCAGCATTCTTTGCTTAACGCTGGAGTTGTGGCTGTGCCGTGAGGATTTAGTCTTACCTGCTATCGTTCGCCTACGTGAAGTAATTTAACCTTAACTACGTGCATTAATGCTGTGCAATAGTAAATGGAATTGAACCAATTTGAACGTCTCTTAGAATAGTTATTTTAGTCGGAATTTATGCTTGCCCTTTACCATGTTTTACTGATTTCAAACAAAGTGATTGAATAAACTATTTTAAGTGTGCTTTGTCGTGATTATATACCACAGCCACTGAACCGGCTTTAACTGACGATGACTAGGAGAGTTGAACGGCATTGTAGCCTTGCAGGTTGGATGAATGAGCACAGTAGCCTGGAATTTATTTATATATTGTCCTAGCCTATGAGCGGTGAGCATTCGATCCTGATAGTGAATTACAGGCCTAACGTTTAGATTGGCTTGTACAGTAGCTCTGGCCGGTGACACTTTTTTTTCCAGGATGAGTACCTATCTATTAATTTCATTGAGTAAAATGGATGTGGCATTCTTACCTTGCAGGGTACGAGTCCCTGTAGAGTTCCTCAAAAATATTATGCTACTCATGATTTACAGATGCTGAGGCGTACTGCAAGTCGAACGTGAGTCGAGTGTTGTGCCGCCTGCAGCAGCATCTTCGTTCCTACTCGTCGCACCACTTCGTGTAAGGGCTCATGCCTCTCCCATGTCCTTTGCTACATTGTATGGGCTCATTGTAAGGGTTTAGTTTCAGTGTAAAAAGTTTAGTTTCATTGTAAGGGTTCATGCCTCTCCCATGTACCATGCTTCATTGTATGGGCTCATGTAAGGGTTTAGTTTCATTGTATGGGCTCATGTAAGGGTTTAGTTTCTTTGTATGGGCTCATGCCTCTCCCATGTACCACGTTTCATTGTATGGGCTCATTGTAAGGGTTTAGTTTCTTTGTATGGGCTCATGCCTCTCCCATGTACCACGTTTCATTGTATGGGCTCATTGTAAGGGTTTAGTTTCATTGTATGGGCTCATGCCTCTCCCATGTACCATGCTTCATTGTGATTTTCTTTCTACTCAGATTTTATGAACTTACACTTATTTGTTCCCTGATATGTTTGCCACAATTGTAATTTTTATTTAGTAGAATTATAACCAATGAAAAATATTTCGATTCACGTCCGGTTTATGACTGACTCTTCATCAATCATTATAAACCAAAGATTTAAAAATTATGGTTCATTTACTCCTGATGGTACATTTTCCTTAACGAATGAATAGTTTTATTTACGAGAAAATTTACTTTATTTGAAATATTGATCAGATTGATAATACTTACGGAGTTATATTATTTTCTTTATCATTTTATTGATCTCTGTAAGATTAACGAAAAGTTGTGATGAACTTCCTCTTGGATCTCATATTTGTTTACTTGAAACCAACGTAAGTCGGCATTGTTTAGAATTAAACGTATGAGCTATTGCCGTTAAGAGATGCTCGTGTAACAGTTGTTTGTCCATCCCGTGTCAGCAGAAGTTTGTCTTGCTAATTGATCTGTCTCTAAATACAACAGGTGCTGATTAATTCTTATCCATTTTTATTTGTTAAATAATTTTTCGTGGGAAATATCCGATTGTGAACGGGCTTGATTTTATTCACGCAAATCAGTATCTCTCATAATTTTAAGCTGTTAAATTGTATAAGTCGAGAGAAATCTAATTGCGTTAATTAACGGTATGACAATATCAATTACATTTTCATAAGTTATCACAAATTGCAGAAGTTATTTGCATCTCAAATTGATTGAATTTGTTCCTATTGAATTTGATATTGTACGCTGTACATGTTAATTGTTCACGTGGCACTTGATCTCTCGCGCGGACCTTGTAGTTAAGCTTGCTATTTTGCGCTTGTGTCAAGCTCATCCACGTTACATTTGTTGCCCTATGGTCTTGTTGAGCCTACTGTCTAAGGGAGGATGTTACGACAGACATTTTAGATTTTACACTGAAATTAACTTGACACAAAGATTTTTTGTTGTTCAAATGTCTCGGATTGAGACTAAAAAGTAAAAATAAAATACCAAAGAAAACATGGCAACTCGATGTTTCAGAAGCTGGCAACATTGTTCGTCACGAATTGCAATGGCCGATTTTTAGATACGTAGTCAACATATCATTTACCGTTGTTTGTGAACTGTGTTAAACGTGTGCGCCTTCCTAGATGACCGTGTGATATTTGTGGTGTTGTTACAGCCCTTGATGTTCTCGTGCATTATTGTGTATGTTTGATCATGTGGATTAGAAATTAAGAATCATTTAGAAGTGAACATAGATATTTGTGTAGTTCTTATGCTTTTAGAGATATGGTGTTTTGGATCTGTAAAATCACAGCTGGTGCGGTCTTACCACCCACAACGTGATTTTTTTGTAAGAATCTCTCATGGCGCAATTTTTTGTCTACATTCTCACTTACGCAATGTTCTAGCAGCTGTGTGTTGTGTGGTACTCATTCCGTGCACGTAGTTGCATTTCCTGCGTTGCTCTCTTATACTTTACTAGATTGTGTCCGGTTTGCAATGATTCTCCATTTTATTTAGTACGATTAACAAGGAATTTAAAAACAAGATGGCACAGAAATTCACCATATCTTTATAAACGAAAACGTTTCGGAGTCAAGCTCCGTCCAGGTTTACAACTTAAATCTTGTACAAAAATTTTCATCTGGGTTCCAGTGCCGTGACGCTTTTTTACAGAGAGACCTTAGCTAAGAATAAAGACCTTATTATATGTAAGCCAGATGAGGGCAAGGGTGTTATTGTATTGGTAGATCGTAGTCGCTACAACAGTAGCCTTACAGTACTCATCGCTGACCCTTTAAAATTTATTGAACTTTTAGACCCAATTGCTAAAACTATTTTGAAAATTTTCGAAGACAAAATTAATAATTTCTTACGAAAACTGAAAGATTCTGCTGCAATTTCACCCGAAATGTATTTTAAGCTGTATGGCTTTGGCTCATGCCCTGCTATTTTAAATGGCTTACCCAAAATTCCTAAAGCTGAATTTACCTCGAAATTGACATACCGCCTAATTTTTTCTCCCTACAACACTCCAACTGTTAAATTTGCTAAATTTCTGGTTCCGGTTTTAAAATGTCTCATGACCGATGAGTTTACTGTAGACAATACATATGTGTTGGTAGACCGATTGAAGAATTTTACTGATGTTCAGGGCCTTACTATGGCTTCACTTGGTGCGGAAAATTTATTTACTATCATATTCATTTCGGAACTTATTGAAATTTGTCTCTGTTCGTTGTTCAAAGCAGTTAATTCCCGGGTCATTGGTTTGACCCGCCACTTGTTTAAATCTCTTGATGAATTGTTGGTTTTAAACTCATTTTTCGTGTTTGCCGGAAAATTTTATAGAAAAATTGACGGTTTGGGTCTTCCTCTCGGCCATAACCTTGCAAATATTTTTGCGGCCCTTGCACTATGTTGCTTCACTAGCCAATTGTCTTCTTGATTATAAGCCAATATTTTATAACCGATATGTTGATGACACTTCTCTGATCTTTAAGCATCCCTCGTTCTTGGGGCTGTTTCTCACTTTTCTTTACCTTCAACATAAGTCGATAAATTCACTATTTGAATCTAAAAATCGTCTGTCTTTCTTCGATTGTTACCTATATTACTAAATCAAGTGGCCATTTCCAGACTTCTGTTTACCGAAAATAGTCGTTTACCGGTCTAAGCATCAGCTTCTTTAGTTTCTGTTCTTTTCGTTCGTCTAATTGAATGTCATTCAAACAATAATTCACCGCGGCTTTCGTATTTGCTCAACCTTCCTTGCCATAAACTTTTAATTTGAATTTTTGCGCAATACCTTCTCACTTAACGGGTTCTTGTCTCGCGTGGCGTTTACTCAAATTAAGAAATTTAAGTCTAAACAATACGGTATACTCAGATTGCTCCCGAATGTGATAATAGAAACGTTTACTTTTCATTCCCATACCGTACTTCAGCCTAGCATCTGAAACTATGTCTAAAGAGTTGAAAGTTTAATTCATGAGGTACTTTCCAAATGTCAATTTCCGGATATTGTTGGTGAATAACTGTAAGATATGCTCTTTCTTCGGGTATAAAAGTACACTACCAGACTTAATGCGATCGTCTCTATTTCACATTTTCAGTTGTGCGCAATGCGCATCAGCGTACGTCAGTATAACGTCACGCGACTTTTATTCTAGAGTTTCCGAGCATAAAGGAAGGAGTTATCGAATATGAAATTTTCTAGCGCATCCCCCTCATTCCGTAGTTCGAATTCATACTGAGCAGTTCGGTGTCCCGGTGTCTGATAGCGACTTCCGAATTGAGGCCTCTACTACCGGCCTTTTTGACTTGCGACTTTTGGAATCCCTTTTTATTTTTAAAGGGAAGCCTAGCTTAAATTCCGCACTCAGTTCCCATCGCCTTGAGATTGCTGATAAATAAGCCAGTTTTGCTGTCTTATTTTAGGATGATTTCTCTTTTAGTTGTCGATTTTAGGTTTTAATGTTTGACGCTAAATATCGGACGTTTTCCTTTATAATGATGTGGCGAATTCCTGTGTCATATATCTTGTTATTGAATTCCTTGTTATTATTTGCGATTTAAGCAATTAAGTGATTTTAGTACTTTGAGTACGATTTATTTCTAGTATATTGTTCTGATGTTGGACTGCGACTGAGTTCTAATTCATGGTTTCCTTGGTAGTGATTTAAGGTTAAGATTTTGATGACAACGATTCATGCTAAATCTGGAAGATTGTGGCCGTCAGAATAATACTGTTGACAACGCCCGTGTTTAAGATCTACATAACATTATTTATTGTAATCAAATACCGCCGAAAATGCTCTTTGTGTAAGTAATATGAGTGTTTTATGTTCGGCATCTCGCACCACAAACTCGGGTTATCCATGGTCGTAAGGTGACTGGTGTTCATTGTCATTTAGTTCTTTTGAAAGAAGCAAATCAATTCGTTCTAGGCATCAACAGTCGTCAATCACACTCACTTGAAGCTCGTAAGGAAATGTTTGGAAATTTTTCGTACTTTTTGAGTGATGGCGTCGTTAGGCTCTTTTTGCTAAATTCATCTGCTATCTGGGATTCAAATATAGATATAATTTTGGTACTTAAATATACGAGAAGTGAAGGAGCATATATTCTAACGCAGAACGGCCTCCTGCCGCCGCAGTTCTCAAAATATAGAGGTGTACAAAACTATGAGATGCTTTTACTTTCACGTGAATAATGCTTCAATGGCATACCTAGTATTCGTGTATAATATTAGTACGTACTTATTCCATTGTAATTAGTATGTAATTGATTACATGGTGTCACCTGGACCTCTAGCATTATTATATGCCTGATAATTCTCTTTTTACCTAGTGAATTATAACATTAAAAATGTGAGCCTCTCTTGTAGTGTATGGTAACTATTAGTGTTTATGTTGATGCACTCAGTATTTGTTATTATGTTGTTAAGTCTGGAAATCATGCACTATAATTTCGTTTGCTAAATTACCTCGTGCTTAGACATCTAACGATTTAGCCAGCCTCTCAGACGTAGGTCCTACATTATTGGTAGTACAATGAAAATGATTACCTCCCCAAATGCCGACTTCAATCATTTTTGTTTCTAAACTTCGCTCGTACACAACACTAGATATCGATCTCTTAGTGTACGTGGGATAAAATGTATCTCATTTATTGTCTAAGAAATTGTTGGTTGTCTTTGTGGCGATCTTTGCTTGGTACATTTCTGTGTGAATATTGTGTAGATTGTGAATTGTGTGGCTGGATTCTACTTGGTGCACATTACGTGTCTGGCACAAGATAGCAACAATATTGAGCCTCATCAGGTTAGGTGTAGATTTTTCTCCCTTGCCTTCGACCAGATTTCCTTGTATACATTTTATCTCTCAAGTAGCGAATGTGCAGATTATTGTGTACTAAGTTATTACTTAGTACACTAGATCAACTAAGAACAATAGAGTTATGAAACTGATCTAAATTTGCGGACAAGTGGAACTGATCTCGTGTCTGATTGACTAGACGGATTCCTTTTCTCTCCTCAGCGTGGACATGTTTCTGTTGCATGTCGCTGTGACGAGATTGCTGTTGCCAGGCTCCGTTCATTCTGCATTGTTCTGTTGTGAGTACCTTGTTTCTATATTGTTTTGAAACACTCTTTAATTGGCATTGTACTCACTTGCGTCAGTTCTATGGTGCTCTCTTATATATTCCAAAGTTGTAGAATAAGCAGATTTAACGCGTAAATTGTGTACGAAATCGGCATTCTGTTGTAACGCATCCTTCTTCTGTGTATCCTAATAACAACTCCAGTTAAATAACATCGATACTTTTTTTTATAAATATTTATGAATAAATTACCATGAATAGCGGACAATTTGTTAAAAATATAAAGGTATTAAATAAATTGATACCTTTTAATTTGCGGTGCGGTTAAGAGTGGTAACATAGTGGCATCTGTACATGACCAGAAACCTGGAATAGCTTTCGGCGTGGCATTTCTCCCCCCTGTGATGGACGGTGTGCCGCCATGGTTGAACTATATAAGGTTGACCCATGAGTTCCGTCTTTCAGTTCAGCTTTCTTGTTACGTCACGTAGATCGAGAAACGTAAACAAACCCGTCATTCCCACGACGGATTGGTTGCCTGTTTGATCGCATTTCGGTGATTGGTTAATGCCCGTGACGTCACTGCGATCAGTGACGTCACAGGCGAACCACGAACTACATCCGCAAAAATGGGCTTCTGATGGGTCAACCTTATACTAGTTCAACCATGCCTACATCCATGGTTCAACCATGGTGTGCCGCAGTTACACTTGATTCAGTCGTGCAGTCATCGGTCGCCTCTGCATTGTCAGACAGAATTATATTGTTACTTTTTTTAGTTAATCTTACAGTAGTCCAAATTACTAATGCAATTTCCAATTTTGATGCAAATAATTCAGCGGGCGTAAGTCACGTTCTAGGTTCATCAATGTGTTTTGTGACATTTTAGCTACCGTGAGCAATGAATATCTGAATAGTACGGGACTCTAATTACAATAAAATTATTTTTAAATTTTAATGATGTTATATTAATAGATGCTTAAGCTAGCCAAGGGCTTTCCATCAGTATGTTTCTGCTACAAGATTTTCGTCGTACGGACTGTTATTTTCCACTAAAATCCCGGTCCTTTATTTCATGAATGTTACCGTTCTTGGTTATTTATTCTGGCTCCAGACGACTAGTTATTTCTTCGCATTGAAATTTCTTCATTCACAGCGGCGATTTTCGTTAAAAACGTACATCATAAATTTGATTAATAGTACGTCAATCCTCCCACATGACGAAGTGATCTCTTAGTGTTAAATCTATTAATGACTAATATGTTTCCCATGGATTTATAGTAAATTTTAGATGTTCAATTGTTGTTTCTGTAACCACAACTACCTAGTGTACCCAGTTTACATCTGGCCTGTGAAAAGATTTCATTTTTCTTACCACGTTTTGTTTTTTAAGTGTTGAAGTTGATCCGATCGATATTTTCTCGAACTCCTTGATGGACGCGACTGCGGAAAATTCAAAAATACCTTAAAATAAATTTACCACTGTCAGCATGTCAACTTCACCTTAGTCCGGCTGTATTTTGGTAAGAATTAAATGTGTAAAAGATGAGGATACGTATGACATGATATTTTAGGTAAGGTCATAGTTTATGTAATAACAAATACCGTAGCCGATATAACACTGACCTAACATTATATCTCTTAAATATAATTACCAGCTGACTAATAAAATTTTCAACTTTGCATGGTAAATTTTTTCTGGTGCATGGTTCAGCAATCTGCAAAACTGTAGAAGGAAGGAAAAAGCCTCATGTACGATTAAATTAAACAGCTAATATTGTTATAGTTTATTAAATTAAAAAACCGCTAATATTGTTATAGAAACAGCTAATATTCTTATAATATATTAATATATTGTTATAATATATTAATATATTGTTATAATATATTAAAACAGCTAATATTGTTATAGTTTATTCTACTAATAGAGATTATCTCTGTGGTCTGAGAACAGATGCACATTTTAAGGTACCGATTCGTTACATGCAAAGTTAATTCACATGGTCAAAAATTGGATACAAAAGTTTTATGTTTTCTGGACGTTTCAGAACATTCTGTATCGATTAGTTCGATAGAAAAATGAACTTTTCTGTGACCCGAATATATGAATTCGGGTAATTGGGTCCGGGTTTTAGTCACTTGGTCCGGGGCTCCCCGGACCTGAAGTGAAATCTGGACGTTTCAGATCATTCTTTATCGATTAGTTCGATCGAAAAATGAACTTTTTTGTGACCCGAATATGTTGGTGCGACGAAATTTTTCTAAGTAAATATCAAAATTTTATATGTAAAATTAAAAGTTTTCTCGACGTTTCAGATAGATGATTTGCAGCCTTTAATTTTTCTGAATCTGGTCCGCCGGACCGGTATGGGTCCGGGTTTTAGTCAGTACCTTTGCTCTGCAGCATGCTTGCGCACGGGCCCACGGGGTGAAGTATGAAAATTATGGAGAAGCTTGAACCGTTGTCGAAAGAGGACGTTCCTGTGAACCTCTCTGTTTTTCTTATCATTGTGATTTGTGAAAGTGCTAAACGATCCCTCAATGACTAATACATCTGAGGGTCAAGATCTTATTGATCCTGGTGCTTCACCAAACTTCATTACAAACAAAAGGCCTGGAAAATTTAAAAAATCCATTAAATAAAAGACAAATAAGAAATATCTATCAAACAAGTGACATCTAAATAATTCTTTTACAAATTTAATGTACTAGTATAAAATTGAAACATTTTTTCCACAGTCCACTTTTGATCCACCTTTTCATTTATAGTCACTTTAGTCATTCACCTGGAAGAGCACTGTTGACTGTGGGAATGGGAAAGCTTTTCAGCTTGGATGGAAAGCTTTTTAATAAGTGAACTTCCATTCTTAGAATTCCAGCCTGTGTCTGTAGCATCACCTCCTACTCCTAGCCCTGTTTTGGGTCCTATTAGGAAAGGCTGTAAGGAGAAGGCAATATTAGCCTCTGTTGCTGAGACTACTAAGAAACCTGGACGTCCTAATACCCACCAGAGAAGTCAAAAATAGCTAGCATAAATATGGATTTGATGTCTTTGTCTGTGGTGTCGCTGAACTGTAACAGTCTTTATGCACGTCTTGTAGAAGTTAAACTATTATTGTACAGCTTGAAGCCAAGCATTATGTGTCTCACAGAGACCTGGGTGAAAGATGCTTACCTTCCCACTTTTAGTGGCTATCATTGTCTGTGGGCCAATAGGGCTGCACATGGAGGGGGTGGTATATGTATTTTAGTCCGTCAGTCAGTATGCTTTCAGGAAATACAGCTGAATCGCTTTGCTGGTGGAGTATTGGAGCTGCAGGCTGTCCAGGTTTCATAAAGTGGCAAGAGTCGTTGGAATTTCAACGACTTTTTGTAAAGTTAACGACCATTTTTTTGTCATTACAACGACTCCAAACCTGGATTAATAGTAAATTTATATTTTTCAACGACAATGAATAATTTAATACATGATATTTTTAAAAAATGACACACTGACTGCTGTCACTCATGCATTTTTTTGGTTTCAGATGCCAGTCACGCCACCACTGGAAACAGAAATGTACAAGGCAGTATCTGCCGATTATCAGTCACAAGTTTACAAAATTTTGGTTCAGTCTGTCGTATGTGTTCAAGCTTGGAAAAAAAATCCGACAGATGGCGCTGGTTGTTGACTTCTTTTCAAGTTGAAACTTGACTACAATAAAATTTTCTGTGTGCCTCTTTTGTAACCTTCATATGACTTCAACTAAATAACTATTGCTGAGTCCAGGTGTTACAAGCGGTCAACGTGCGACTTCTTCTTCACCTACAACCCGCAACCACCACCACCAGTATGAAAATTATGCTGGTATTGGGCAATGCTGGGCTATTTCAGTCATCCCGTAGACGGGTACTGGACTGAAATGTGAACGTCAGTATATATACAGGGTTCAACATGGAATGGATGCCAAATGGGCCCGATGGGATCTCAATTCTCAAAGAATGAATGGAAGAAAGAAATAAAAGGGAGAGTGAAATTATGTGGTTTATGAGTTTGGAAGCAATGAATAGAAAGAAAGCACAGCCTAAGATTGTGCAAGACGAAAGATGTCCGTATGCCAAAACATGAGTACTCGAGTACAATCAGTACAAGTACATACATGACGGAAGTTGACACTTGACTGTTGAGGTGGTGTGGAGACCCCCCCAGGCTAGTATGGAATATATCTACTTGGCAAGCCGTGACTGAATTTTTCGAGCCGTGGTTTTATGGTAGCCGCGAGATTTCATACCTACTGAAATTATATGATATTAGAGCCGCGATATTTCAGACAAAAATAGGACTTTTCCAGACTAGCCCCCAGGGTCAGCATACAGAGGGTGGATGCAGATTGCAGCATTGCAAATATATGGGTTTTTAAGCCCTAAACGTTGCCGGGTAATTTTAAAATGCATCGCCGGGTAATTTTTAATGAAAAGCCATTTACGCTGATTAATGAAAAACTATTTACAAGCCACAAACTTATTTACAAGGTTGCATGCACATGTTACTGCCAGCTGCCTTGCCGGTACCCCAAATAACTAATTTTACCCTAAAAACAGTTTGATTGTACAGCAAGTGTCAACTGAACATGTGATAATGCAGTCTGACCGCTCTAATGTGACCGCAACTAAGTAATCGTAAACTTGATGATTACATTTTTTTGGCGGGAACTCATCACAACTGATTTCTGGACAAGCTTCACTGCATCCTGATCCATCATCCAACATACCGGAAGGCAAAAAACCTTACTTTTTTTAAATAGTTGGCCAAAGACTGACAAATATATTAAATGCAAGAACTTCAATCTAAATGTGTCGGCAAGATCTAATCATCTATAAATTTTTTTACCACTTGAAATCAGCAAATACAAGTATACTTAAAGGATTCCGAATATATTCACAGACGTATTTAAAAGTCTCAAACCATAATATTCTTTCTACACAAAAAGTTTATCACTATTTGGTAGAGCAAGGTCAACTATTAACTTTTACACATTTTTTGATGTTCTCACTGGGTGACGCTCACTGTCTCTCTTTGGATTGCAGCATTTTCCTGCCAGACAGGCCAGACTTAGTGTTTTGGCAATAGTATGGCACGCAAAAGTATGATGTCACTATGTCAACCATCAACGAATGCATGGAAGTAAGAAAATGCTTAATATAAAGAAAAAAAAAACAAGAAGTGTCAGAATTACCCACGCTGTCGGAATATACAGCATTTATCCTATTATTAAGACTTGAGAGGCGAGGGAGCAAGTCAGGAAAAGTCCTATTTTTTTCTAAAATATTGCAGTCTTGCAGCTCTAAATCCTCTAATAGCATTTAATTTCAGTAGATATGAAATCTCACAGCTCTATTGTCATGTAGCTATTTTTGTTTGATTGAAAAATATTGCCATTTGCACCAGCATGGTAACACCCAGGGTGGAATTCTAAAATTAGTGCCGCAGTATGGAATTCTGTATAGGTAACATATTATCATATCAACATGATAAAATGTATACAAAACCTTATCAAGTTACACCTTCTACCAAAGTGGCAATAGATACACTCATTACACTGAGCTTGTCAGAAACTGCGGACAGCCGCACTTCCTTTATCTCGCTTGCGTGTGGTTTGAAAACTGATACCAAGTTGGCAAATCCTCCCTTGAATACATACACTAGTCGTGTATCTGTGTCGACAAATTTCTGTAATGCAATGTTTTAAAATAAAAATTATGTCAACTTTTGCAGTAAATTCTCATGATTTTATCAATACCAACAAAGTTCTCAAATACAGCAATCCCTTAATTAGCACGATTTTGAATACCGCGGTTTTGATTAACGCGGAAAAAAAATTTGCAACCTACCCTTAATCTACGCGGTGCCAGTTTTGATTAGCGCGACTTTCTTTTTCAAAGCGCATCATTTTCCTGCCTCTAGCCAGAGGTGTTACGTTTGTAACAAAAGTGTTACTTTTTGCTTTTTAGATCTTATGTTGTTACTTTTGTTATGACTTTTGGAAAAATTTGCCAAATGTTGTTACTTTACGAATTTCAGCCAATAATTCTTTAAATAAGGTCCCGTTCCGTAGGCACTTGTGCTGACTACAGAGTCGGTTTAACCGCGCCTTGTCTCGTTCATAACTCGAATGATCGAGTTTGGCAACGTTTGCTGGTAAGTGCGCCATGCCGGTGCTCTAGTTACTCGTTAGCCTTCAACTGGTCAAGATTGCTGCCATATCTACTGCTCATTTTTATCAAACTACATAATTTTCCTTGATAAATTACTGTCATAATTATGGACAAAAAGGGAACGCTTAAACGTAAAAATATCACTTTGGAGACTAAGCTTGAAATTATTAAGCGTTTTGATAATGGTGAAACGAAAACGAAGATCGGTGAAGACCTAGGGGTTCCCGAAACAATATGCACAATTTTGAAAAAATCGTCCGAGTATCAAGAGAAAGGCAAAATTGCTTCTACGTCGTCAAGTGTGCAATGCACTAGAAATAGGACTTGTATAATGATCAAAATGAAGGATTTGCTTTGGAGGATTCATTTGCATTTCTTTTATTTATTTCCCCTATTATTTAGAAAAAAATGTGAATTTTAGTGGAAAAACAAATTATTATGTAACTTTGCTATTTTTGAGGATTCATTATAATTATTCCCATATATTCTTAAGTTTGATTAGTGCAGTTTGCTTAACACGGTAAAACTTGAGGATTTATTAACCGCGTTAATCAAGGGATTGCTGTACAATGCAAAAGTTAATGATCAGTTATGAATGCCAGGAAAAATTATTTAAAACGGTTTCTAAACTTGAAGGACCAGCTCCCTAAACAAGTAAGCAAGAGGTGTTTACAAGTTTAATGCTCAACGTTTGCTTAGGATTGAGGTTATATCAACCAGTCAGTGGCTGGACAATGCAACACTCCTGCGGCAACCCAACGCTTGTGTTGGTTTGAATGGCCTTGGCACATATTTCTACAGTTGCTGCAGGTAGAAATAAACATTGAAGGAACATAGGTAAAGTTGTCATCCATACAGCCTAAATTAAATGGCAATGATCCTCTTTTATAATTGGCAATGAAAATGTCTATTTCAGAACTGTTCTTGAATACACTTGTGAAAACTAAAGTTCTGTAATCAATAGAGTCTTTGAAATGACAAAATCATTAAATTTAAAATATTTAGTTATATGAGTGAGATCATCAATTATCATAGAAGCTGTAAGAAAAAAAATCATTTTTTGATGTAAAAGAATGTTTTTAATTTAAAAGAAATACAATACTTGATTTTCAGAAATATGATGCAAAAATTAATGGTCCCTATTAGAATTCAACAGATGTGACTCATTCAGAATTAAATTGAAAAAGTTGGTACCTAATTGAAATTTATGATTTTACAAATAGCTTAATTGAAGGCAGTGCAGAAATTCAAAATCACCTAGGAGTATGAATTTAAGTCCCATGACTGGAGAAACCTTCACAATTTATTGTACTATCATGTAAGCTTGATATAAGCTTTTTGTTCTTTTGATGAACAGATTTTATTTAGGTTCTATTGACCACAATAGGTAGAACGATGCGACATATTCGCGGCATCCATCCAATGATCGGTCAACGGCTTTAACTCTTGGTACCACTACAAATATTGTGGTAGACACATCATCCAAAAGTTTCAATGCAAAGATTCTTATTTAAAGGATAATAAATTGATTCGTAATTGTTTAATCCCACCTATAGATATAAAAGAACATCATTCAATTTATTTTAAACGCTTTTCATGAATTTGCATTAGAATATTTATTTTAAAATCAACCAGTTCAAAGTAACAAAATATTTCAAACCTCTATCAAAAATAATCATTCTCTTGCATTGAGTATATAAATGTTATGCACTGTGCCTGCATGCCATGATCGTCAGTTGCGTGCCAGGTGCTGGCTTTTGTTGTTATATGTAGTCTTGCTCCCATGAATTGTGTGTTTAGTGTCATCATGGAAAAGTCTGCTTTACAGCATAGTCACGGTAGTTGTAAATACTTTATGAAGTTTAGTTCCTTGCAGTCAACTTGAAAGGCAAATCTTTAACAAACTAATACTTTATATAATTTTAATTGTTGAGTGAAAGCTGCAGGCACGCAACTTCCAAGTGATTACTTCCGTCAACCGGGGCTACTCAAGACGGTTTTGAGCGTTTTTTGTTAATAACTTCTTACCATGAAACATTTCATGAACAAATTTAAGCTCATTTTATAGCTCTTTGCGAGGGCTATCAAATGGCATCTTAAAAAAATTCCATATGCTATTCGTAAGGTGCCAGAAGCAAAAAAAAAGAGTGTCCCGAGTAGTCCTGTTGAATGGGGCTACTCAGGACACTTGCAATAAAACTTCATTTTAAAATATTTGAAGCATTCAGAGTGTACTCATCCATTACTAACAGTACTCTGAAGTCCTCCTCTTTCATTGTAGATGATGTAGACTGTAGAGGTAGAATAAATTACATTTTCTGGGATTTTTACTCATTTTTCCTTTATTGATATGATATTACCATAAACATTAATTACCGTCAACTGGGGTGACTTCGGCCGCATTTTTTATTTTGTTTTGCAAACAAAAACGGGGTCGTAAATGCCGGGGTCATAAACGCCAGGGTCGTAAACGAGTTCATGAATGCTGGAGTGACTTTGGCCATCGTTTATGACCCCGCTTTTGTTTGCAAAACGAAATCAAAAACGCGGCCAAAGTCACCCCAGTTGACGGTACCATATTATTGATGCAATATTACTGTATTGTTGATGCAATTTTACCATATCCATGAACATGCCATTGAGCATTTACAACAACCTTGTCCACTGCAAGCCTTATAGCATATTTTTCTGTATCTGTAAGCTTACAGGATGGCTTGTAATTTCACACCATTTTAATTGTGTTACCAATAAGTGAATTTACTATAAAAAAATATAACTCAGTGCTGGTACTTTTTGCAGTGAGTGACAGAGCGCATTTTCTCGTTGACGAAAACTTGAGGTCACGGATGGATGGACTGACAGATGGACAGGCAAATGGACTTGGCGAGCACAATAGTGCATTTTTTCCATAAATGAGAAAATGTGCTGAAAAGATCATGAAAAACATACTTGAAACAGAAAGGAATCTTTTAGTGACAACAATCGTATGTTTGGAGAAATAAATCACAGTTTAGGTCAATTACTTTTCATTCTATGATGCCTGGTGCACAATTCTACATATGACATTCTACGCACAATTTTGTGATGACCGATGATGCACTAATTTTTCAATAAGTGAACTTTTTTTTGCTCAGCAAGGTAAATGTAATCAATATTCTTTGTTTTTAATAAATTTTTTCCTTAACTGGAGCCTTTCCTAACTGAGGCTCTACTGTAAATGCACTTTTGGGGGTGTCCCGAATAGCCCCGGGGAGGTGTCCCGAGTAGCCCCGCCATGAGGAAATGACTGCCATTTTTTTTTTAATGAGATAGGCAAAATCTGTCAATTACGTTTTCAAGCCGACACCTGGGTGCAACTTTTATGTAAGTAAAATTTTTTAATACGGTGAATAAGGTTTTTACTACAGACCTTAGCAGAAGTAACTTTTCAAAATATTGTTTTTCACCATTTTTTCAGGAATTTTTCAAAGCTAGTGAATGTAGTATTTTTAAACTTCCTTTACACTACATAGATAGGAAAAATGTTGACGTTTATGCCACTATATTTAGTTTTGCAATATTCCAATTAGTTTTGCTACTAAAACAGTTTTACGCCGTGTCGGAGGACTGTCCCAAGTTACCCCGCCCGTCCCGAGTAGCCCTGGTTGACAGTTTATAGAAACTTAGCATACCCATATGTGTTTTAAGCCATTAAGAAGTTCATTTTTTTGCCTCAAATAATGTTGTAGTTGTATCGAAAAACTGGTCTAGGTGTATCAGGAATAATAAATGAACTGTCAATTTTAAAATTCCATCCTGCTTGTGGTGTTTCAAATTTTCAGCAGGGTTGGCAATGATTTAATCAAAATGATTAAATCATGTGATTAAATCACTTGATTTTTTTATAAAAAAATCATGATTTTTTTTATTTTTTCAATTTTTTGATTTTTTTTTATTTTTTCATAGATTTAAAAATATTGAGTGGCAGTCTTTAATTTATATTGAGGTATTGTTATTCATGGTTTAGTATAAATGTACTATGAATGACAAATTGGTATATTAACTTGTTGCCTTTAGTGTGTATTAGGTTCCAATAAATGGAATGTTTTTGGTACAGAGGCATCAAGAATGCAATACATTGTACGTAGCTAGCAGCTTAGCTAATTCTTATAAGGCTATAAGTAGTCTAACTATTTGACTATTTGTCATATATTGATTACAATATACAATTTAAATGTGTTAGCTAGCTTATACAGGGTGGGGCAGAATTGATTGAACAGTTTTGAGGCAAAATAAGAGTAATGGAGGTACATAAAGAAGAAAGTTTATTTTCCTTAAGATTAGCATAACATACCATTTAAAATACTTATGTTTTGAAAACAATATCAGGAAGATGGTGTTTGTTAGCTGCATCACACTGTTGGAGTCATTCTTGGAAGTTTCCTACAGCACGTTCACACATATGGCAAGGTATGGCCATAACCTCTGCTGCAATAATCCATTCCCTTAGCTGTGGTAAGGTGTGAGGACAACTTCTGAACCCCTTTCTTTTAGATGTCCCCAAAGAAAGAAATCGCAAATGCTCAAATCAGGTGACCTTGCAGGCCACTGTAAATCACCCCCAGAGACACCAGACGTCCGAGAAACATGCATTTTGAAACATTGAGTGACATTCGAGCTGTGTGAGCTGTAGCCCCATCCTGCTGGAACCACACGTCTCTCAATGCTTCATTTTCAACAATGTTTTCCATCATGGGCCTGTCTCTTATACACATCTAGATGTGTATAAGAGACATATGTTATGCTAACCTCTAGGAAAATAAACTTTCTTCTTTATTTTACCTCAAAACTGCTCAATCGGATCTGCTCCACCCTGTATATTGAGAGGTTGAGATTGTATTGACCTTTTAAGGCAATTAGAAAGATTTTCCACCCTAATAGTATAGTATCTTCGGCATTTAAAGAATAGGCCTGGATAGGCCTGTCGCCGATACGAGTATTCTAATTGAAATATTTAATTTCAATCTTTAAATATGTGAATTTAAAACTAGAAACAAAACAATTACAATTATAAGACTATATATAAAATAATTAAATGCAGTGAATGGATATAAAATATTTGAATTGTGCACTTGTTTATTTCAAAGTGTTAGCTTTTCTCATAACTTGAGTCTTGTTTCAAGTCGTATGAGGTTTGCTTGGTTATCGTTCAGTGTATGTTTTATATTGGTTTATTGGTCTGAATTAAATGGGAACAGTGCAGTCAGTCACTCAGTCACTACTAGTCAGCGTGTATAGAAGGTAGAGTCTGGTAGATTTATAGGACATAAAACTAGTAGATCTATTGATAGTGCTGTGCACTGTGCTATCAGCTACCTATCTGTTGTGTGACTCTTCAATGTTTAGGAGATCTACATTCCTGAAGTGTTTTATTATATTGAAGCCTGTTAAATGGTCAATATTTAGCTCATTACCTTGCTCTATACAAACTTTACAAAGCTAATGAATAGATTTATCAATAATTGTTTACCCAAAAATCCTTAAGTGGTAAACACTTAGGGAACACTAAGTAAGGCAATAAGTGCCCTTTTTAGCCATCCATTATGATCCATATACTGTTATTGTTAGTAGGCTAATTGCAACATAAAAAATAACACCTCAAAAAGACAAAAAAACTGGAAAAATCAAATAAATCAAAAAAATCATTGATTTTTTGATTTAAAAAAAAAAATCAAAAAAATTGCCAACCCTGATTTTCAGTAATTTTGAAGTAATTCTCTAAAATGCAGTAATTTCAATACAAATGTGTTGGTAATATGTTCATAAAGCATAAATTTTGCTGCAGATGCGTCGCCAAATATCTTTCGATATTCACCCACTTTCTGCACCCTGGGTTGTTACTTGTTGTCAATATCATTCCCATTAGTTACTCCCACTACATAGTGAATACAATTTTGAACTTGATTGGCCAATTTGAAGGGTCACACTTGAAAGCTGAAAATGCTGAAGTGCAGAACATGTGGCAAACAATGGATCAAATGCATTTGGCAGAGAATCGCATGATTCTGTAATATGAGGAAGCTGATACTGCAATAGGATATCACTATACTTGTATGTCACTCGGATCAAAAGTACCAAAACCATTCATATTGTATTGAATGTATAAAATTTAACCATAGCATTTAAGATAGATCTACCAGTTGTCTGCTTAAACATGTTCATTAATCTTATCTCCTGTCATTTCTTTAGGTTGCACAACTTTAATGCTTATATCTCAAAAATATAACTCGGTACTCACTGCAGTGAGTGACAGCTTATTTTCTCATCAATGAAAATGTGGTCATGGACAGATGAATGGATGGACATGACAAGCACAATAGTGCCTTTTTTCATAAATGAGAAAATTTGCTAAAAATATTCAACCCAGAGTGTGTGGAGTTTTGAAATAAGGAGAATTAATCACTTATTCAATGTCAATCACCATTCTCATCTGCACATGACAGTAGCCTTTATCACAACGGTTTAAAAGGTTCAATGCATTTGCAGTCATTGCAGCTGTAAACTCTATTTGTTAGTGAGTGCTAAATGCTAGTGCAGAGTGGCGATATAATTTTTATTTTTTTAACATTGAATAAGTATTTGATTTATTCTATTTAATCATTCCGCACTCTCTGGGCAGAATATTTTTTAGATATGTGTTGAACCTCCTAAACCATGTGCATTTATTGCAACTTCAATCACTATTAGCAAGTGCTATGTTTTACTGATGAGTGCTGGGCGGTGATTAACAATAAAAAGTGATTGATTCACCTTATTTCAACGCTGTGCAGTCCGCAATATCTGTATTAGATGCTTTTTGCAATAGTTACACCTATAGTAAGTTGTGAACCACCATTGAGAATGTTAGAACTCAGGAGTTCCAATATGGGTGTTACTCCAAATGAATTTTACCCACCTGCTTGTTGCTTCTGAGAATGTTAAAGTGAGCTCCAGCCTGCTGGGTTATTTACTACTGTCATGACAAAATCTCATTTAGTAACTCATAAATTAGTTTGAAATTGTAAAAAGAGAGCAGAGAAAATAAAATTATATTTATGCTTCAAATCAAAGAAATTATGAAAAAATTCTTTATGCAAGTTCAACTATTTAATTTCGGTTTTAAGTTACTACTCTGGTCCAACTGTCTAATGAGTGAACTCCAGGCTGACAATGACACTCAAGTCACTTGTAATTAGTAGCTCAATGAACATAAATCTCATAAAGTTTAGTCAATCTCATTGATGATGGCTTCCATTTCCCTTTGTTTACATATTTGAATTGCAATTTCTATCTATTTTCATATTTTTAATCTTCAGTTTCAGATTTAAAACCTGCAATACAAACTTGGAATGGGGAAGAGAACTAGAAATCATGACACAGTGGAAGATGCTGGTGGAAAAAATCCCAACAAAATATCCCTGGGCGGAGAACCTATTAAACATTTGAAGAGCAGTGAATCCTCAGAAGAAAGAAGTAGTTATGACGATGAGCATATGAAGATCATTAAAACATCAAGCCATGGAAAAGTCAAGAAGCAATCACGATTTTCTATCGGATTTGATGAACCTTATAATTCAGACTGCTATGAGCCAGTTGAGCTCCCAGAGAAAGGGCGCTCATTCACAGTTAGTGTCGCCATTCCAACATCATTTTTGGCTGAAGTTTGCCCCAAGAGAGAAATAAGAACATATGTAATGGGACAGCTGGCAAGATCAATCTCAATATTTGGAGTTGATGAAATTGTTCTGTACAATGATCACTGCTGGAACAAGACATCAAACGACAACCACAATGAATACTTAGGTTGGCATTTAGATTCTGAATTTGTTGCTTGTACCTAGAATGTATTTTTTAAATTTGATATTCTATGGCTTTTGTATTTAATTTTGTAGATTTTGACTTTCAACAGTTCCCTTGTGCCCTCTTAACCAAAACCTCATATTTATAAAAAATCTGAGTTTAGCTTTAGTAACTTATTAAATGTATTCCAATGTATTATGTAAAAACATTTTCATGTATGAACTGGAATCACACAGAGATGATGAGCACCATACTGCAGTATCAAGAGTGCCCTCAGTATTTACGGAAGCACCTGGTGCCTCAAAGCCCACATCTCATAAGTGCTGGACTACTGAATCCTTTGGCTGCACCACATCACCTCAGAGCGCAGCAGTGGTGCAAGTACAGAGAAGGAGTTGTTGTGGACAGAAACGGTAAATCTGGCAGTCTTGTGGACGTTGGTTTAGGAAGAAACGTTGCTGTGCCAGACAAAACTGCTGAGATCGGCATGAGGGTTACTGTGAAGCTGCCTGATGCTGCACGTGTCATGGCTTCACCTATAGGGGAGCTCGTGTCACCGCAAGAACCCAGACTATTACATGGAATCACGTGGGGCTACACAGTTAGACACGCCGACTCTCTTGCTCAAGTGGGTCTTCTACATCTTTTATACACGTCTATTTAGTGCCTTTCCTGCTTCATACTTTTTTTTTTTGCTGTAGCGTAAAGGTTACGTCTTGAATTAGTAAAGACTTGCAAAATATTTTTGAGTTAGTATTGATTCATAATTACTACCGCTTGTCGCACAGTCCCTGCGTGAATGGAGGTTCTGTTGGAAAAATGAGTGTACTCTGTAAAATGACGTCTAAACTTCATCATTCTTTCCATAATAATAAATCTAAACGTTAATTTGTACTTGCAGGTGATTTCGGAATGTGAGAGCGATGAAAGGTACGATTTCATAATCGGCACTTCAGACCGTGGAACTCCCGTCCAGGATCTCTACATTCCTAAGTTCAAGAAACTTCTCATTGTCTTTGGAGGTGCGTGAAATTAGGGGTTCCTATGAAATCAATGTTTATTGTTGGAAGTTAGTATACCTATTACCTACATAATTATCATACTCAACTATATTTGATCTCAGAACGAATTTTCATAATGATAATGCTGATGTTGTCAACAATTATACGATACTATCAGATGAATAACATCTGTGCAATGAGGAAGAGAGGTTATCTTGCAGACTGCAGTGCTGATTTCACACCTAGAACCGGTCCTCTGGCTGATCGATCCCGCTTTCAGTGGAAAACTGTCCATTTTTGTACATTCATGTCGTTCATGCTGTTTCAGTAACAAGTGAATTCATTTCAATTTTTATGCGTAGTATATTCAACATGTGGCGGATTGAATACTCACTGATATTGAGTGTAGAATAAGCTTGTGTCTCAACAGTTTTCCGAGATCAGTTTCTCAGCTGACATTATTGACTCAAACAGTTGATGATAAAGCCCCAAGTATGAAATAACATAACATAGCGATGTCGGCGCTGAAGAGTAGCCACTTTTTGTGACTAGCTCACAGAAGATTTAAAATCGTGTCATTTGACCGGATCTTTTCAGGACTGACGATAGTTTGAAATAGCTACTATACTTCCACCGGGTTTGATATGGTGCTAGGCATTTCATATCTGAACATATATTTTTCCATAACTTCATCTAGTCTGTTCTTGAACGCGTTCATACTCGGAGCGCCAACGACGTAATCGGAGAGGCTGTTTCACATGTCGGTGATTCGAAGCGTGAAGAAATTTTGTCGCGTGGATAAGCTGCAGCGCATTTTTTTTAGTTTATGGTCGTGGCCCCTGGTGTTGGTTCTTGTTTCAAATTCTAGTAATCCTTCGAGGACCTTATATAAGCCATGAGTATCCTTGTACACTTCAATGAGGTCCCCACGCAGACGTCGATAACTGAGGCCTTGAAGCTTCACAACCTTTAATCTTTCTTCAAAGGACTTGCTCTTCAAGTCTGGAATTATCCTTGTTGCACGTCTTTGAACATTCTCTGTTAAATTTTTGTCCTTTTCAAATCTCACTGACCACACAACGTTTCCAAACTCTAGATTTGGGCGCACGACAGCAACAAACAACTGCTTCATCGCTTCTGCATCCAGGAACTCGCATGAGCGTCTGATTAGTCCAAGAAGTTTGTTGGATGTGTTAGCTTGCGTTTCAACATGCTTAGAAAATTTCAGCTCCTTGTCGACATAAACTCCGAGATCCTTTTCCACACTAGACTTTTCAATCATTACTCTCTCATTGCAACCATGTCTTCTCGTACTGTAATCTTGCTGTTCATTGTTCTTCCCGAGGGGAAGTACTTTACACTTGTCAGCATTAAACCGCAGCTGCCACGTATCAGCCCAGTAACTAAACTCTCAAGATCATCTTGCAATTGCGCTTTATTTGACGCATCCTTCACTGTATTATAAACTTTAGCGTCGTCGGCATACATGGAGCACACGCTGGACACTGCTTCTAGCAGATCGTTTAGAAAAGCAACGAACAAAATAGGCCCAAGAACGCATCCTTGTGGTACGCCACTGCACACTGATGCCCAGTCTGACACGGTTCCGTTAATACTGATACGTTATCGTCTACCTACTAGAAAATCTCTGATCCATTGGAGTACGTTTCCCTCAATCCCCAAGGACTTCACTTTACGCAACAGCCGCTCATGCAGAACACTGTCAAATGCTTTGGCAAAATCGAGGTACAATGCATCCACTGGCTCCCTTTCGTCCAGCAGGCGAGTCCAATCGTTCAACGTAGATAATAAGTTAGTGGTGCAGGATCTGCCGGCAATAAAACCATGTTGACAATCTGATATGTGATGGTGAGCAGTCAAGTGATCGATAATCCTATCCCTCACAACAGACTCCATTAGCTTACAAACAACACTTTTCAGACTGACAGGTCGATAGTTTCCGGGGCTGCTTTTGTCACCTTTTTTTTACCACGTTTTTCTTAGTTTCGCTTCGTTTCTGTCTGTCATCAAAAATTCAAACCTTAATTTAGACCACTTCTTAAGATCCTAGAAACTTGAAATTTGGCATGCATGCTCATGCAACAATTCTAAATTTGATCATCAGAAGTAATAATTAAGAAAAAATGTTTAATTAAAAAAAATTCACGGTTAGGAATCGAGTTTTTTTTTATCGAACATCCAGACTTTTCCAGACCCTGGAAAATGATTTGAATTGCTAAAATGGCTAAACTAAAAATTAGAAAATAAATAAATATAAAAAAGTATTTTTAAAAACCAAGTTTTTTTGGTGTTTACAAAACTAAAAACAGTGAAATAAAACAAGTGAAAAACTTTAAAAAATCGCGTTCTCTTAACGGACAAATAAGAAAAACATTTACTCTTACATAACATTACATAAAATTTTACATAACTTTAAAGTTATGTAAGAGTTAATGTTTTTTTTTTGTCCGTTAGAGGAAAACGTGGTTTTAAAAAGTTTTTTTTATTTGTTTTCATTCATTGTTTTCAGTTTTGTAACCACCAGAAGAACGTGGTTTTTAAAAATGTTTTTTTTTTTATTGAACAATGGTGTTACTTGAGCTTCTTTCCAGTCGGACAGCCAAAGTTCCTTCGTTTAAGGTTTTTGGAAGTTATCACTCAGATACTCGCCACCAATGTTATTAGCAATAACATTTTTCAAGTGAATCAATAAAATGAGAAATGTCATTTCAGGGGTCGCGGGACTGGAAGAAGCGCTGTCGTGCGACGCGGCCCTCACCGCCACCAGCCCCGAGGAGCTCTTCGACGCGTACATTAACGCGTGTATTCATCAGCAGACGCGCACCATCCGCACCGACGAGGCCGTGCCTCTCGTGCTCGCTGCTGTCCTACCTAAGCTTCAACGGTGATGGCTCCAGGTTAATGGAGGGACAACGCCTAAGAAATTCATTTTATTCTATCACAGTTTCGTATATTTTTACTCTGAAATATTTTATCCGTCGTCCGCCCAAACAAAGTTTTACAAGTTATCAGTAAAAACTAATTTAACACTTTTTTGATGCTAGACACAAGTGGTCCAAGATTTATTCATTTTCTGGAACTCTGGATAAATTATCAAGTCAACTAGCTTGGAGTAAAAGTGAGATTACAAAACTTCAACTTCTAGTCTAAAAATTTTAACGCATACAAACAACGGAACAAAATACGTTAACATATTGACATTGATGATTGATCTTTTTCTCCCTGTGCAGATAAAACGTGACGACTGAATATTAAAGTGAGATATTCCCAAGATTGGAGCCATACATCAAATTTGGCTTGCTGAAAATTCTGTACCATCTCATGAACTTTGAATGAAATAAATACCTAAAAACAAAAATTTTCATGGATTAATAACTGCAATATATTAAGCATTACTATTGTACTGACACCTGATGAATTATTTGCATGGATCGCATGGGCTATTATTTTAGGAATGGAATTTTTTCTTAAATTTCGCCATTTACAACACTGTAAGTAACTGGAAATAAATTGTCTTGGCATCATGAGAATACTTGACAATTTGATAATAATAATCACCACATAGAATGAAAGTCACTTTGTTAGAGTAGAAATGCAAGTTCAGTTTTTTGTAGCTTCGTCTCATCAAATGTGTTGCAACGCAGTCAGAGACATTATATTTTTGCCTTCTTTTGTTAAACAAAAAACTTCTGTCATGGTAACAAGTCAAGCTGAGCATTGATAATGCGACAATTCTATTAGACTGGCCCAAAATGTACAACCTTGTTATCTAATAGTACGCTTCTCTGTGAAAATGACTGCTAATAACTTAAATTTTCAGTATTTCAGAAAAAAAGTCGAAGGATTGAAATCGTTTGAAATGACCTAGCTTGCAAATGCTAGAGCTGCAGCTCTACAGATACAACAATTAAGTAAAATAGAGTAGGACAAAAAAATCCCTTTACATCGATGTCCATAATTCATTTCATACTCCAGCCGCAAGTTGTTGGGAAATTCTAGCAAGCACTTTGTCTTGTAGATAAGAATGTCTGTGAGTTGTATAGGTGTACCCAGCAATTGCAACCGCCAAGCAGCTCAGTTCGAATACCAAGAAATGCCGTTCTTCAAGCCACACAACTCGATCGCATCTGTGGGACACAGACGTGATTAGAGACAATATCTGAAGCACGAATACGAAATAAAAAATAATTCTAGCTTAAGCAAAGCTGATAAATTTTAAAGTGAAATTTTAACAGATAGTGACTTTAACAAGAGGCATTGTGTAGTGCAAGCCTCATGGAAAAAATCATTGATTTGAGTTATCAAATACCCCTACGTTTCAAGTTTCATAAATTTTACTGGGCATTTTCATTCAATTACAAGGTCCGCCTTATTTATGGCAACGGATATTTGCTATATAAAATAAATTTTTTTCTAGGAGACTTTTCTTTTATAATGAAGCTTAATATCTTCTATTAATTCCTCTATTTCATATTGCAGAAATCTAAGGTGTCAAAATTTACTATTACTCAGGGCAGTAGATGGAAATGCAATTGTAACCCTTCATGAAAAGGGCGAGAGTGATTCAGTCATTGCAAAAAGAGCTCCAAATTCGTCGTGAAACTGTGGAAGGTGGTAAAAAATTTCAAGGAAACTGCTGAAACATGCAATCGACCTGGTCAAGGAAGGAAACAAAGTGTCTGAACAAAACTATTGGTCAAAAACATGAGGGAGAAGTTGAGGAGACACCCTCGTCGCTCAGCTGCAGAAGCAGGAGTCAGTCAGACATCAATGCGGAGAGTCTTCAAAGATGACCTCAAAACCTCCCCTTACAAGATGAAAACAGACCGTCATGAATGAATGAGGCTCGAAAGATGCCAGCACATTCTGGATCTCATTGAGGATGGCACGCTGCCCAACTTGGTGTTCAGTGACGATAAAAAATTTGACATTGAATTAAGCGTTAACCGTCAAAATGACAGGGTTTGGAGTTGGGATGGATCTGTGGCAACCAGAACAGCAACACGACGTCAAAATCCCATGTCCGTGATGGTTTGGGCTGCGGTAACCGCCACTGGGAGGTCCCCATTCGTTTTTGTCCCCTCAGGAGTGAAATTGAACAGTCAGCGATACATTTTGGAAGCTGTGTGGTTACCTTGGGCCCGTAAACACTTCAACGGCTCAACATGGAGTTTTCAACAAGACTCTGCCCCCATCACATGGCTCAAACATATCCCAAAACTGGATTCAGGGTCACATCCCAGCGTCCATTCAAAAATGACTGGCCCTCAAGAAGCCCTGATTTGAATCCTCTCGACTTTCCTGTGTGGGCTATTATAGAGTAGGGTCTGCAGAACACCTCATGATTCTTTGGATAGTTTGAAGTCTAAATTGACACGAGAATGGGACTTGATCCCTCAAGAAATGCTGCGTGTCTCCTGTGAAGCTTTCCCGCGTAGATTGGAGGCTATCATTAAAATTAAGGGTGGTCATATTGAATAAATATGTATGAGAATTGTTTAGGTAATTTAGGTAATTCTTTGCTACTAGCTCATCCAATAAAAAACAATGCACCCGTTTGTTTCATTGAGAAATAACAAAAAACATGCGTTGCCATAAAAATGGCAGACCCTGTATTATTGCTATACAGTTATTTAGAATCTATCGAAATAACGTGAAATTAAAGAAGTGGCCACCTGATATTCCCTTCATAGTAGACTATTTTGTGATTTTAGCAATTTTGTCTAAATTTATGGATACCTTTTAGGCCATTTTAGTCCAGTTATTGAAAGAGTAGTACACTTCACCAAGTTTTTCTGTAACTATCATTAGAATTTATTTTCATTTTTTGCCTAAACTTTAATTCAACGCAATTTAAACTTTGGCATTTATTTTATTTGCACAATGTGTTTTCTCATTGTGTAATTGAAAAAAAATAGTCTTTAAAAAATTATTTTTGTTGTAGATTTTATAAGGTATTTTGGCTCCTGAAAAATAATCAAATGTTAACATAGGTGCTTCATGCAAAAAGTCTGATAATGAAAAAATCAAACCCTCTATCTATAATTTTGAAAACCATAATTTACTCAGAGAATATATTGCAGGTGGGTTTTTCATTAGTCTACTGGGTTATTTCTATGTAAATTTAATTTATCAAGCATTGGTGCAAAATTGCTAAAATCATAAACATGCTTATAGATAAACCTTTACCATAAAGATAGATACACTCACGTTCTAAATACAACTCCAGTGGTGTTGCACTCAATTTTTTGCCTATAGTGAGCTGTCCCACAAGCTACTGGACTTCTACTTTTAAGTTCCAAATCTGCGAAAAAAAGGCAGCTATTAATAATCTCAGCAGACTTAATTCAACAAATATATAAATGATGCCTGTACTAGTTGACTGACATGGTTGCTGCTGTGCTGGAGAGCAAAAATTGCAATAACACTTCCATAGTTCAATTACTTCATGCTTATTGAATGGAACATTAATAAGGAATACAGTATTTGTTTACCAAAAATTACATAAAAATTAAACCTAACTTCCATTTTGTATAATGATGCGTGCTATCATTATTACAAGAAACGATACACCATCAAGAAATTTCACCTAGCATAGCAAACCTGTACAAGGCTGACACTCTTCCAAAAGTTTGAATTCCTCTCGACTCCAGCAGTTTTCTGCAAGAGACATATTCACCGGTTCTTGACGGGAGGAGTTATGACGGTGATTGTCAGAATAAGGAGCCAGAATGTTTTCAACCACAAGCACGATGACTGAAAGCCTGGAAGAAAGAATGATATCTCAGTCTGGAAGTGAAAGTATGAATAAAAATACAATGAAATTAATTTTTAGGAATCATGAATAAAGAACAACAAAATTAAATAGTTTTATTTTTTGTTTTATTAGTTAATATAGGCTCTTTACAGCCAGAAATGGGGCTTTTCTGTAGCATGTACTTCAAAGTAATAGAGAAGTGCCAGATCAATTGGTAAGCACTGTATTTATTAAAGTTTTGTTGTTGTCTGTAGAGGCAAAATTTTAAAATTCTGGACAAACAACAGAATAAGGACTAGCTATTAATGAAATGTTGTGGCTCCAAAGTCCCTTCTTTTCCATCAATTTCAAATATGCGACCTCAATCATATAGTTTTATTAACAATAAGGTATTTCATCCAGCAAACATCAAGCAGGTATAATTTAGAGTTATTTATCTAATTGTTGATAAAAGTCTGTGATCAACAACAATGAGCACACTAAAAATGTAAGATTTTCATAACAATTACTAGGTGCCCTTGATCCAATTTGGAATATCCAGCAGAGTTTGCTAAAAATTGCATGCAAAAACTTGCTTTAGAGGCAATTTGCAAAAATTTCAGGCACACATGAGCCAGATAGGTACTTCAATCAAAAATCTGGCAAGTGGCAAGGGACATAAAAATTGTTCAAAATGACTGCAAGCACAACTGCACAGGCACTTTTGTCTCACTCACAGGTAATTTTTGCCCAATTTTCCAGATTGGCCCTCTATGACGCATATTTAAGTTGCCACTCAGCAGAAGCAGATACAGCCAATGTGGTATTCCAGAGGGGTAATATATTAACTGGTAAACATAGCATGGAAAGCAGGTCCTCAAAATCTGGAGAGGCCAGCATACCTCCACTTTCAGTCCATCATCACTGATGAGTCTCTGCAAGCTGACACAGCTGTTTCAATGGAAAAACAGCGCTTGCATAATCACAGTAATAAGTATCCAATCAACGCCTGAACATGAGCAATGTCAGTCACCAGAATCCAATCAGTATCAGACCATGCGCAATGTCACAGCCACTGGAATCCAGTCAGCATTAGAAAGCTAGAATGGACTGCCCCCAAGTTTAGACAATATTAACGCACTGATGATAATTTAATGCTACTTTAATTACAAACTCCAGCAATTCTTGCAATGACAAAATCATTGCAAACAAAGATCCTAAAATTTTTAATTGAAGGGACAGCAATTGAAAAAGAAATTGAAGGGATATCATCAAGGAACTGAGAGGCAATTAAATAAATAATGAGACCACCTCATTGAAGTACAACACGCTGGAATAAGTACGTTCACTTCTTATTTCAAGAGCGTAATACAATAATACAGTTATGTTACTATGGATGGAAATCGCAAAGAATAACATCTTCACAATGTACACTCACAAATACATGAAAAACTGCCTATTATTCAATCGACAAATACAAAAATGATTGCTACTGCACTCAGCTGAGACATGGAAACTCCTTCCATTTGCAATCACAAATACCAACCAAATGTAAGCAATAACAAAGAAGATAGCAGGGATACCAACCAATAGGACATCAATATAGTAATGTGAAAAAATAAAAGATACAAATTCTTCTATATTATAAATTTTTCAACAATTGACATTCAACAAAATGGTTTAATAACCTCTGTAAATGTTATACATGCATGCAGAATCAATCGTGTTGCATCAGACTGAAATCTAATGATGGTTACTAGTTAGTTCTCATTACGCAATTGATGGGTGAGGACCGTAAGGTTACTACAGTGCATTAACTGCAGATAAAACTCACAAACTTTGTGACAATAAATGAGTGAAAACTTTATGTGATACCTATATTGTCAGCTGTCTAAAGTTCTAATAATGTAGAAATCACAAGGTTCAGAGAATCTGAAGGTTTGAATGCTAAATTTTCAAGTACTGTACTCTAGTGACTAGTCTAGTCAGTCAACCTAGTCAGGTGTCATCATGCATTGCCTTTTCTTTACCACTAATCTTAGAGTTCCATCCTGGATACAGCACTTACTACAAAACCTTATAATACTGGTCAGAACTGCAATTAGTAGGGTTCAATAACTACAGGATGGATAAGAAGTCCATTGTGGAATAAGGGAAGTATAGTGGCAAAGCAGAAACTTTAACGTTCTTTTTGAGTCCTATGACTATGAGCAGGATTGGAATTTTCCTACTTGTTTCTGAAATCTGGCAGCTCCAACTGGACAAATTTTCAATACATTCGGAATATCATGGCCCGATCCTGCACTTTTGTTAACAATTATTAGATAGGAGTTAATTCATCTGGCAGAAATTGCATGGTTACAGAACCAGAAGTGGCCAGATTTCTGCCGGAAAGCTCCAGTTGCAGCCCTAATGGTAGAAGTTTTCCATGCTTGACAATGGTAAATGCGGTAGGTATATTCCGACATTGTGGGTAATTCCGACACTTCTCAAATTTTTTCCTTTATATTAAGCTTTGTCTTAGTTCCATGCATTTGTTGATGGTTAAAATAGTGATGTCATACTATTGCGTGCCATACTATTGCCAAAACACTAGGTCTAGGCCATCTGGCGGGAAAATGTTAAGATCCAAAGAGAGACAGTGCGCGTCACCCAGTGAGGACATCAAAAAACATGTCAAAGTTGATAGTTAACATTGCTCTACCAAATAGTGATAAACTGTTTGTGTAGAAAGAATTTTATGGTTTGAGACTTTTAAATAAGTCTGTGAATGTATTAGGAATCCTTTAGGTATACTTGTATTTGCTGATTTCAAGTGGTAAATAAATTAATAGATTATTAAATTAAGTGACGGTTTTAGACACATAAAAACTAATTCCGACACAGCTTGGAATTAGACACACACAGCTCATTCCAAGCTGTGTCTACAAATTTAAATTTTTTTAATTGAAAGCTTAATTGCTCTTAGTTGAAATCTTAATTAATAATTAAAATTTTTTAATTAAGCTCATTCCGAGCTGTGTCGTATTCCAATACAGCGCATACGGGGCATCAAAATTCCAACACAGGGCACTGGAATTACATATTAACCCATTAATGCCAAATCGTACTCTCAAGTTGCCTTTAAAAAACCACCGATTTTCTAATAATTTTACGTTTTCTTTCATTTTTTTTTTAAATTCACACGAATAAAAAAAGTCTTAGATTTATTTTTTACATATGTGTACCAAGTTTCAAAGTTATCTGTCTGTAAATAACCAAAATAAAATTTCCAATTTCCAATGGCAATTTCCAATTTCTTGTGGAAATTTCATTTTGGTTATTTATGGACGGATCACTTTGAAACTTTGTACACACATGTAAAAGATAAATCTAAGACTTTTTTGTTTGTGTGAATTTTTGGAAAAAAGCAAAAGAAAACGTGAAATCCTTAGAAAACCACCAAAATGGGGGTGCTGTAGGAATCTATCTCCTCCTAGGATTTTCAAACTACAACATCGAGATGCATATCATACGATGCGTAAGGACCATATCTATTGATTGGTCTTTGCTGTTTTTCTAAATTCTAATTTTTGTGGGCGGGGTGGGCATTTTTCGAAAAAAATCTTATTTCTCCCCCCCCACCCTTTCGAGTTCCCCTCCCCCCTTTTCAAAATATTTTCAAAACTATAATGAAATTGAAAAAAAGCTGTGACCAATCTCTAGATCTTTTATTTGCAAATTGAACGGTATATTTCTCATTGCTGTAGCTTAAAAACTCTAGGAGGAGATAGGTTTGCAGAGACAATAAGTGTGAATGTTCAGTAGAGCGCGGGAAAGTCCCGAGCACCTTAAAATAGGCATTCATGGTGGCTTGGATACAAGACTATACATTACTGGAGCTGAAATTCAGTCAAAGATGGTTGGAATGACTGCATGAGCACCATCCCACACGACAGCAGCCGGGCCATGGTCAGGAAGATGTGCCAGGTGCGCGGGAATTTATATTGTCATTTAAACGACCTGCGTGGTGCGCCGTACTGTGCTGGTAAAAAAATGCGCTGTGCGCCGTACTTTTAGAAAGCTAAAATAGTTTAAATATGGATGCGCGACAACACAAATCACGTAATCACACTGACCGTACACACAAAGGTGTATCTGCATTGTGTTGTGGTTGAATATGAGTTAACTAGATTGGCGAAATCGACACGATCAATACCTAATAAAAATGCACGTAAATGGACTATACAAATTAGGTCAATATGGCGCAATTACAGAGCGTAATTATACTATGTGATACAAAATATGAATATATATATATTCACAATATAAGTCAATTGTCTGTTGTTTATTTTTGCTTCATTTGAGCAATTATGGTTTCCAAATCTGGGTGTGTTATGTTGTGTCATGTGTACTTTGAATGTGCAAAAATTATAACTATCACATGAAAATTGTTACGTAGGTTATAATAGCACGAATCGCAAGAGTATCAAGATTGCAGTTCTGCCACCACCCTTCATTGAATTATCCCGCCTTTTTTCTAAAATTCAATAATCTCTTCCAGCAAAGTTTGCAAAATTCATTAGCTGCATAAAATACTCTCTGCTGTGGTGTTCAAGTTCCGGTTGACATGACATCCGTTTGCATGTTAAATTAAATAGCAAGCACTTTTGTTAAATGTTCACAATTAGATTGGGGTTATTTCATCAAGCGGTAAACTTGCGGTTCCAAAAATGGCGGGAAAGCTCTTATCGCGCCGCTCTGAAGGCAATCTATATAAATAATAATATAATCCACGCCTACGCTGTAGGAAGTTCAAACTTCAGAGGTGAAACTTAATGCAGTAAATTTGCAGTAAGTCAGAAAATACCAGAAAAATACCAGATTTAGGCATATATATTATAACAGTTTGTGACATTTCATTGTTGCTGGCGTGTAGTGTGGCGTTTTGAGAAAGTTGTAAAGCAATCAGAACTAGAGTTGTGCACACGGTGATATTTTTATAGCCATTCATTTCTTGCTACATCCTTTATGTTAATGTGTTGCCAGTGTCGAAATATAGGTACCGCATAGTGGCAAAGCAGAGAGTTTTTAGACTCTTCCTCAAGTTCATTTTTTAGTCATATAAGTAGACCAGTAAAGTATCTTGGATACCAGAATTATCATACATAAGAAATCTGTTGAAATCTTGAGTAAATGAGGAAATTAAAAATGAACTGATTCTAAAAACTCACTGGTTTGCCAATTGCCACTATGAGGTACCCACTGTGCAGAGAGTGAACGAAGATTTAAAGACCTACGGCGACGCATTATCGGCAAAATTTTTGCCTTCAGAAGATCTTGCCGACACATTTAGATTGAAATTCTTGCATATAATATATTTCTCAGTCTTCAGCCAACTATTTAGAAAAAAAGTAAGGTTTCCGGTACGTTGGATGGATTACGATGCAGCGAAGCTTGTCCGGAAATCAGTTGCGATGAGTTCCCGCAAAAAATGTAAACAATGTTTTTTCGATTGCGTAGTTTCAGTCACATTAGAGCGGTCAGACTGCTTTATTACTTGTTCAGTTGACACTTGCTGTACAATCGGACTGTTTTTAGGGTAAAATTAGTTATTTGGGATAACACATGCATGCAACTTTGTAATAAGTTCGTGGCTTGTAAATAGTTCGTCATTACTCAGCGTAAATGGCTTTTCATTAAAAATTACCCGGCGAGGCATCTTTAAAATGGCCGGCAACACTTTGGGCTTAAAAATCCATATATTGGCGACGCTGCATCCACCCTCTGCATAGTGGTAAGGTACCGTGTTTACCCTATGGGAGTATGGGTATTGGGTAAAGTAAACAGTTTAGTATCATGTATACTTTATTCTTCAATAAAACAAAAATTCATGACATTAAAGCTGCAAGATTTCATACATACTAGAATTATATGATATTAGAGCCACAATCCTTCAGAAAAAATAGCCTTTTACTATTATACCTTTAAGTAAAAAAAATAAAAAGGAATATTTTAACCTGCAATTTTTAATATCAACAGTGACAGTGATACAATTGTTTCAACTGATTTTTGAGGAAACTTCTGCGTTCTGCCTGATATCCCAAATTGGATAGAAGGCATAATGCAGAAGTGAAGCTGTGAATCTCTCCAACTTCACCCATTACCACCACAGATCACTTTTTCCCAATTTCATCAGTGAAAAAAACTATCTATTTTCATCCATAATTACTAAAAGTCACTCATAAAAACGATCGTATTCACATGTGGTTTAAAGAAACTTCTGCCTAATATTCTAAATAGGCTAGGCTGAATTCAATCAATTCAGAGTGCAACTCGATGTTCATACTATTTCAGCAGCTGACCTGACTCACCCGATGAGACATAAAATCGCAATAATCATCTGCTTTCTTGAACATGATTCAATCATTTTGAATAAAAGTTTATAACCTGATTAAAACTAATCAAAAATTCGTCTAGTATCATAATATAAAAAGTAGCTTCATGGCATTATGCGTTCCATATAACAATCACGTAAACATTGCCACTTGTCTCGTCATCAGTCACCACTTCATCCTCATATCCGGAACACAAAATTACATAATCGACTTCATAGTCAATTCTGTAATTTACCGATTTAATCTTTTCTACAGGATACTCAAACTTGCAAATAAAATCCGAATAAATTAAAATATATTCAGAATCTCAGTTTTTCAGTAGATACATACAAGTTAATTGGATATTTCAATTTAAATGTAAGACTTCGCTATGGTATAAGTTTCGCAAATTCACTCTTCATAACGGCGGCATTGGTTTTCCCCGACGTCTCGGACAAAAACGCGGCCTCTCTCACGGCCGATCTCGCGGCCGTGATTCCAAATTCAGTGAGCGTGGAATATCTCGCAAAATACTGAACGTAGCTTGATGAAACTTGGTACACATAATCATTAGAGCCTAACGGTGATGTTTAGCTCGTGACAATTTTTCAAAATTCGCCTTCATTCCTGAGTTATATGAATATACGTGGTGAAAATTGCAGTTGGCTCTAATGATTATGTGTACCAAGTTTCATCAAGCTACGTTCAGTATTTTGCGAGATATTCCACGCTCACTGAATTTGGAATCACGGCCGCGAGTCCGGTCATTGGTTCAGTTTTTTTTACAACACTTCTCTTTAACTGCCTGTCTGCTAAAAATCCTATCGATCTGAAATTTTTCACACTTGCGTAAAGTTGTAGACAATGCATGAATCAAATAACAAAATAAATAATTTTAATAATACTTTTTTTAATCTTAAAAAAAATGAAAATAATATTGTCTGCTACAAATCTTATAACCAATATTTAACACACTTCCAGCTGTCCAATCCATTGTATTAATTCAACCATGGTCCAATCTATCTGAAATTTTGCAGACTTACGTAAAGTCGGAGTCAACGCATGAATCAATTGACAGAATAAATAATTTTGAAAATTTAATTTCTTTTATGTATTAAAATAATTTAAAAAAATTTTAGTATTCGAAATTAAAATTAGAAATTTATTGTACATGTTTTACATTGGAGACACTGGATTTTTTTAAGTGTTGTCTTTAAAAATTAATTTTTAAACATACATTTTAATTTCTCATATTTTATCAGTTTATTATTCCAAACCAAAAATAGCGAGTAAAATGTCACCAGTATCAAAGTTGGCTTGCTAAATTCGCTAATTTGAAACCCTCGATGTATTATATTATATATATATGCATATTATATATATTATATATATATTTCTTCTTTACGAAATTCTCCCACGGTCTGTACAAGTGGAACGCTCCAGTTAGGCAGATCCGCTCCACCGCGCCACTAACGATGTAACATCGTCGATTGCTGGTTGATTACGTCGTAATGTCTTTAATGACGCTGAGTCGACGTCTAATGATTGCTGGGACTCAATTTTAATGAATAATGATTAGCAATATCGTTTGAAAAAAAAATGCATTTTAACAGCGGCAAAATAAAAAGAACGGAAATACTTCTGCTATAATTTTCCCGTAAAAACTTCACGCTTTACAAATAATAGGCAGGCAATGCTGATGTTATTCGCTGTTTTCCAGCGTGATTTTATTCCATGTAAATTATTATAGAAAATTATTGTCTAAAACTTTATGATTAAAAATATTTAGCTATTTTCTTATCTCTAACAAATTTTGATACCCACTAATACTAGTGCTGAATGTGCACTTCCACGCTTTATAAATCGCATAACATGGAAACGGAAAGCTTAAAATATTGACGTCGTTAAAAATAATACAAAACAAAAATTCATCGATTTGTGGCCACATCAGGCCTACGCTTCAGCGCCGACATCACTATGTTATGTTATGTTATGTTAAGTGAGGTGCTATAGACATTTAATTAAATGTAAAATGAGAGTTCAATTCAAATTAATGCCCTTTCAAGGCGTTAATTGAAGTTATCGTGACCCAAAATGAAATCGGTACAAAAAAGTCACCCTTTCAGAAATAAAAACAATTTTCAGATTTTTTTTTCAGACCCGTGTAAATAATGTTAAATTTGTAAGAAAAGCAGACTGGGTTACCAGTTTTTCCCGGTGCATTTTTGCGGTGGTTCCTGAGTGACGGATAAATGATCGTTTTTCGTGTACGTTTGTATATGGCAAATAGTTGATTGATTGGCAAATACAAAGTTGACAATTATTGATCGATTGCGGCGAATAATTGATCGTTTGCAGGAGGCGAATAGTCGATCGTGCAGGAGAACAACTAATCATGTGCACATGACGAATATGTAATCACTCACACGTGGCGAATAAGTGATCGCTTGCCCATGGCGAATAATTAATCATATGTGTATGACGAATTCATTCCTGTGCATGTGGCGAATAAGTGATCGGTTGCATGTGGCGAACAAGTGATCGGTCGCATGTGGCGAATAAGTGATCGTTTTCTTGTGACCAAAAAATGACCTGTATGATAGATATAGCCTGTATGTGACTAATCGTTTGCATCTGTTGAATGTCGTATGTATGTCGCGTATGTGAGGCTCAGCTAATTTTGTTTATAGAGACCCAATCTAAATGCGGTGGACGACGTCTGAGTTGCCCATCCTTTGGTGCGGAATTAAGATTCGAAGTCACCATCAAAATGAGGGCACCATCACAGAGGGCAAGAAGTGCTCTTTTCTTTACATGAATCTAGAACACATTTTAAAAATCAGTATAGCACATCCAATGAGAGTTATACATGTACGTTTGTAAGTGGCGAATAGTTGATTAATTGGCGAATAGTTGACGAATAATTGATCGATTGCGGCGAATAATCGATCGTTTGCAGGAGGCAAATAGTCGATCGTATATATATATGGCGAGTAAGTGATCACTCGCACGTGGCGAATAAATGATCGTTTGTGTCTGGCGAATTATTAATCGTGTGCATGCGGCGAATAGGTGATCGCTCACATGTGGCGAATTATTGATCGCTTACTCGTGGCGAATAATTAATCGTATGCGTATGGCGAATAATTAATCGTGAACATGTGACGAATAAATGATCGCTTGCATGTGGCGAATAAATGATCGGTCGCATGTGGCGAATAACTGATCGTTTTCCTGTGACGAAAAAATTTCCTGCATGATTGATATAGCCTTCATGTGACTGATCGTTTGCATCTGGTGAATGTCGAATGTATGTCGTGTATGTGAGACTCCGCTAATTTTGTTTTTAGAGACCCAATCTGAGTTGCCCATCGACGACGAGAGACGTCTGAGAGACGACGTCTGAGTTGCCCATCCTTTGGTGCGGAATTAAGATTCGGAGTCACCATCAAAGTGAGGGCACCATCACATGAGGGCAAAAGGTGCTCCTTTCTCTACATGAATTTAGAACACGTTTTAAAAATCAGTATAGCACATCCAATCATTTTAATCAACGTGTAAACTATTTAGAGCTCTCTTTTCGATCAATATTTAGGTAATGCATTTAGATGAAAATTTATCCTATGTTTTATCGTTCCGAAAATCAGTCTGCGGCCTTCTAAAAAAAAAAATCCGAGCTGAGAATTGGACTTTCCTCAGTCGGACTCACAGAGCATTAACTATTGTTAGAAGAAATGCAGTAATGAAGGTTTGGTCAATGCATTTATACTCGTTCGATGCTTTATGAAAATTTGTGACAAAGTGTGGGTTGTTTTTAAATTTATATGCAAAGTCAATTCTACTTTAGATTAAGAAATGACGGATTCGTTGCAACTTGTCATATGAACTAAGCATTTAAATCAAAGAAAACGCCAAAAAAATTCATTTTGTCCGCAGTGAAAACTTATCGGAGTCCAGCTCCATCATCCGTACAAAATTTCATTAATACGATTTTGACCAAAATAGGACCTACAAATTGCCAAAGGAATGCAAAACCTATTGATTAACGGTTTCAAGTGGTTACGAACTCATAACATCGTTTACTCAGGTGACGTCATAGTTTGAAGAAGGTGAGAGAGTACCACGGGTAGCTATCGCTATAAAAGTTTCACCACGATGGTATGCTGCTAACCTATCCATCGCAGCTATTTATAACCGTCCAATTGTCAAACTCCGAAGAAGAGGATCAACAATGATTGAACCGTAACCGATGACGTGAGCTCTAGGTACAAGAGCAGCCACTTAAAGTGCTACTTCAAGATCCCGAATAAATTAAATGCTACTTCAAGATCCCGAATAAAAACACGGCAAACTGTTTAAACGTTGTTAAGGCGTCAGCAAACTTCATTTCTTTTATATATCTTACGAACTTGTTCAGTCGGAACTAATTGATGATAGATGTTGTGTTTTGGTGTGGTGAGAGCGCGATCATTTTCTAGATTAATAACGACAGGTTTGCCTCAAATGTATTTTTTTTTTCCAATTGAAAAGATGTGATTAAGTCGACGTAAAAACATAAAAAAAAATTCGCCAGAAAATATGTCAATTAAGCTTATGTTGATTGATCCACATCTGCAAATGGACACGATCGTGTTCAATGCCAGTTTTTATTACAACACTTCTCTTTAACTCCACTTCTTGTTTGTCTGTCTGTCTGCTACAAATCTTATAATCGAAATTTAACACACTTCTACCTATCATATCGATCTGAAATTATGCACACATGTGTAAAGTTGGTGACAATGCATGAATTAAATGATAAAATAAATGATTTTACAAATTAATTTTATTTAATATTAAAAAATGCGAAAAATAATTTTGTCAGCTACAAATCTTATAACTGATATTTGAAACACTTTTACCTGCCCAATTGATCGGAAATTTTGCACACTTGTGTGAAGTCGGAAGCAATGCATGAATTAATTGACAGAATAAATAATTTTGAAAAAATTTTATACATTAAAAAATTGAAAAATTAATGTTTTCAAAATTCGAGAATAAAATGAGAAATTCATTGTACATCTGTAACATTGGAGACACTGGATTCTTTAGAAGTGTTGTCTTTAAAAAGTAATTAAACGTATATTATTATTATTATGAATCCCATAATAAAAATCGATTGCCTTATGTTATTGATTCGCGTTAAGGGTGAGTAAGATAAAAGCAAGGGGTGAATAAATTTCAATGACAGTGTTACTTCTTCTGTTAAATCTGTGTTCCATTTTAGCACTA